GATACCCCTGCCTGCCTTATCTTGACATAGTATCTCAAACCTGTGCTGTTGGGTACCTTGCACTAGAGCTCGATGTTTCATGGCCTTTTTACGCAACTCCTCTAGCTTTTTCTGCATGAAAGCTCCAAACAAAATGCTGTTGTTCGGCATAGAGGGAAGAACTGCCTGGAACCGATCCCTAAAATACCTGCATGTCCCATGTAAAATGATCTCCACTATGCCAACTAGTGGCAGTCCACGGGCACCGCGCATCACCCAGTTGTAAACTTCTGCCAAATTTGTTGTCATTATTCCATATCTAGCACCACCTGTGTCATACGCCTTGGCCCATTTCTCTTTTGGTTCATGCAGAATCCACTGAGAAAATTTCCGAATCTCCAATCCAGTTCTTCTAACCAATGTTGGATTATCCGTTGGGAGAGGTCCAAGAGCTTGAGGAGGGTCAGCAACGGCGGTCGATGGAGCTGCTGCACGCTGATCACTGCATTTGGCTGTCAACTCATCTAATCTCTTCCAAAGCTCATTGAATTTTTTCTCCTGGTTCTGATTGCACAGCCTCTTGAACATGTTCATGAGCTCCTTGTTCTTGAATTGCTTGAAGAAATTAGCTCCCATATGACGCATGCACCACCTACTCTGTACATCTTCCCAAACACCGGGGTATCCTCGTTCCATACTCCCAAACTGCAACTCTCCTATCGCTCGCAGAATGCCAGCGTGCCTATCATGTATCAGGCATACATTTGGCCTCATACCAACAACTTTTGTTTTAACCAATTTCAGGAACCAGTACCAGCTGTCGGTATTCTCACTCTCAACAAAAGCAAATGCCAAGGGCAATACCTGATTGTTCCCATCTACCCCTATTGCTGTTAGTATCTGGCCCCGATACTTTCCTGTCAAGAATGTCCCATCAATGCAGAGAACAGGACGACAGTTTACGAATGCCATCTTGCATGCATGTAGAGCTAAGAACGCCCTTTGCAGCACACTCTTGCCAGGATGTTCAATTGAGGGGAATTTCTTCACTTCGTAAGAGCTCCCAGGGTTTCTTTCCTCGATAACACCAAGCAGGCGTGGCAAATTGTCATACGAGGCTTCGTAAGTTCCAAATCTCATCTCTATTATTTTCTGTTTGGCCCTCCAGGCCTTGGCATAGCTAATAGTATACTTGTATGTCTCTTCAATGTGTCGGATTATTGACCTTGGTTCATATGTGAGGTTATCGATGACATGCGCATACATCTCAGATGCAACAAATGCACATGTAATGTTCCTATGGTATTTCTGAACACCAGGTAGAAAACATGTATGCTTGGTAACAACTGACACTGTCCAATAATCCTTCCATTTCCCCTTATACGCGTGCACTCTCTAGGGACAACCATCTTTTTCCTTAACACACCAAACTTCATATTGCGACCGGTTCGACTTGGCAACCCAAAACTCTCTATGAAGTGACACTGCAAAATGTTTTACCGCCTCCTTCATATCTTCTGCTCTACTATAAATCGCTCCCTGAATAACCTCATTTTCTTTGTACTCCCATCTCACACTATCCTCTTCAGAGACGATCAGCCCAGAAAAATCCTCACTAGCCCATTCTGCTGGATTAATATCCGTCTCATCATCTGACGAATCACCTTCTTCTACACGTTCGTTGTCAGAATCCTCCCTCTCCATTTCATCCACAATGGCACCGACAGTCTCCCCCTCGTCGGCCACTCCACCTGGTTGAATGCCCACTGGAGCTACTACGCCCCCGTCCTCTCGTGCGTTGACCTCCTCCACAGAAGTCTCGTTTACTTCAGCACTTGGTCCCTCGCCATCATCCATGTTCGTCTGCACACCTAGATCCTTCGGGTGAACAAACGGAACCAAAGCTAGAGGCCACCCGCGTTGCAATGCATTTTCCAAATACCATCTCCACACTCGAGAGTTTTGAACTGGCATTAGTTCCCAATAAAAACCCTCAGTTGCCCGACTTACTATAACATTGATTGTTATGTCACTTGTCTGTGGATCAACTCTCAAGCCCCTCATTAACCATCCTTTTATAGAAGGTACACTCCTCTCAGCCGGTCTATCAATTCCCCTTTCTGATACAATAAAATCTGACAGATCTACCCCACTTGGCCTGTAACGGACGTTTCTTGGTCCATGGTAAACTTGGAATATTTGTTTGTTCGACATATCTGTCAACGAAATAACTAGATCATATTACTCTTTCATGCAATAAACATCTACAACGTAATATCTTCTTGTGTAAGCCAATGCAACGGTAATGTATTAATTCCAAACTAGCAGATCTACGTAGTTACCGATATCAACAATACGCACTTCTAGATTAGTACAACTAAAACCCTAAAAATATAATGCATTTATTCAAACAAATTTTTAAAGAATACACACTATTTAACTCAATAGTCACATATAGGATCTATGAATATTACCTGAAATCGGCGTCTGAATCCGGCAGGGCTTCGCCCCTTCTTCTCTTCTCCTCCCCTCTCTTCTTTTTTTTTCACTGGAATTGAGAAGAGAAGAATGAGGGCTGGGGGCTGGGCAGCAGGCCTTTTATAGGCAGCGAGGCCTGCCGCCCGGCCAGAGGGCGGCAAGGGGCCGCCTGCAAAATAGCCGGCCCCGACTGGCTTTTTTGCATTCGGGCCCCTTGCCGCCCCACCAGAGGGCGGCAAGGGTTTTCCTGCAAAAAAACCCTCCCGCCGTCACCACCCGTTCCTCCCCCGTTTGCCACGTCAGCTTGCCGCCCCAGAGGTGGGCGGCAGGGGCTATTTCTGCAATTTTTTTGGTCGATAGATTATTTCTGTAAATATTAAAAAAAAAAAATCTAAAACCGAAAAAAATTCTGATGGATATTGGGTAAGTGTGGGAGGTCAAATGGGCCTAAAGGGCCTGTCTGTCTGTCTTACACCAATGTTGTGTTTCTGTCCCCCTGCCATGGCATGATAAGAGCTCATGTCACTTTTGCCATCCCTCCATGTCCTTCTCTCCTGAATTTCTTCTTGCATGGCTTGTTCTTTCACAACAATTTACAGATGCACCAGTTAGATAATGGAAACAAAATGCACCAGTTAGAAGTCACATTGCATTTTTAAGATAAAATGAAGCTTTATTGATTTCAGCCGATTACATCAAAGTGATAGAATCATACCGAGAACCATATAGATCGCATTTTTAGATAATGAAAGTAATTTCCAGCCTCTGCACCGGTTACGGATGCACGATAGCTTTTTAATTGTGGGCACCAAGATTTGAACTCTGCACGCACAACTTCACAACAACAAATATGCTTCCCACCGTAGAGAGATGCATGGTAGTATAAATAAAAACTATTCTTGTCCATGGAGGAGGAATGGGGCCTGGCTTTGTAGTGCAAGCAAAGCATGTCAAGCATCCCTTTCACTGTTCTCTGAGGAGGTAGCTCATGCATGCCTCCTCCTCCTTTTTGTGTTCTTTTTAGGGGGGGTGTCATCAACATCTTGATCCTCCCACTCACTGTTCCATCAAAAGATTAACATGAACTAGATCTTGATTCAGTAACAACACTGAAGCTCACTTCACTTGATCACCCAATTTCTGATTGGTCAGTTGCATTTTGAAGAACAGATTGTTACAAAGATTGCTTCATGTGCAGGCAGATTCAGGCTAATGGATGAAGAATAATTAGCCATCCAAAACTGCTTCATGTGCAGGCAGATTCAAACTAATGCATGAGGAATAATTAGCCATCCAAAACTAGTCTTTATCAAGTTCCTTTTTTGTGCCCTTTTTAAATCTGAATAGATGGATCAATCTAGCCAAGAAATGATTATAAGATTGACCTAAATTTGCATTCCATAACTACATGCAGGAATACATGATTAATGTTCGGTACGTACACACAGAACCTGTGTGGATTCTGGCAATTCTGCAACTGCAAATATGCAAATACCCTCTGGGTTCTTGTCTGCATGCCTGCTCTGCCTCACTCATAATTCTTCAGAAGAGGGTCCCAATTAACAAGCATTATCATTTGCTTTCTGCCTCAATTGATTATTAATTCGTTCATCTCTCTCTCTATCTCATATCCATGTTTATGTGTGAGCTGATTTGTTTAAGGATTCGGATGAGGAGATCTATGCTTTTGTTAGTAACTTGTGTGCTAAGGGAGAAGAAGTATGGTGACTTGGCAGTGTTGTGTCTGGACTTTGGTAAGCACCTGACATAATCACAGAGTGTTGCCTAAGATAATCACGTGGGTCACCAATGTCTGCAAAAGTTTTCAATTACAGAGAGGGTGTGCATGCGAGTTTTGGTTCAGATTTTCAGAAAGCTCATGCTTGAGATTAGCTGGATTTATGACACAAAGTTCAGAACTCAACCAGTCAAAGAAGAAGTTCAGAACTACTGTATCCTTCAGAGAAAAAGTTCAGAAACTATTTTCTAGAAAAACGAGAGGAAATTTTGTGCCCAGCTTCCCAGAAGCCAAACAGAAGTTCAGAATTGTTCACATTAAGTTCAGAACCCTACCATTCAAAGAAGTTCAGAACCTTTGAAGAAAGTTGAGATTCAGAAGTTCAGAATTGTTCACATTAAGTTCAGAACCCTTACCATTCAAAGTAAGTTCAGAACCTTTGAAGAAAGTCGAGATTCAGATTATCCTTTCTTCCTCAGTATTATCCTTTATCCTTGTGGTCTTTCTAAGCAAAAAAGCGAGATGTGCTCGTGCGAGAAAAGGTACAAATTAAAATGTTTCAGTGTTCTCGAGAAAGTATATTCTTCTTGGTAATGGCTGCTAATTTCCATCTTCTCGAGAAAAGCATATGCTCATGTAATGGCAACATGATGGAGAAGACATGCCTGGATTGTAATAGGCCTATCAAAATCAGGTTCAGAGATATGTTCTTAGTCTCACATAATCATCAGGCAACTCAATGGAGAACATGCATTACAGGTATGCAATGCAAGCATCATATCAACAAGCCAAAGAGGCGAAGACATAACCTAAGATCATGGATTGCCATAACAGCTGTTAAGATCACATGAATACATGATATTCCAAGAGAAAGATGGGAATATCATTTGGCATCTGGAGTGTGTGCAGAAGAGATAAAGCTCCAGATGAAGTCACTGCTTGTCCTACATTTAAGGTTTATTGTCATGAACATACACATAGCCAATGTTTTATTCTGTGCACTGCAGATGATGATGCAAAGGCAGTAAGAGACCAATCCAATCCAAAGCAAACAATTGGCAAGCTAATGAACTCTTTAAAACTACAAGACTTCCTGAAGAAATTCAGCTATCCCCATGACAAAGCACAACTGACGAAAACTACTCATTGTACAAGAAGGTAAAGAAACTGAGCAGACCGAACCAAAGGCTGCAAAATCTGTTGCCCTGTCTATATATTCTCTATGGAGCATTATCCTACAACACCCAATGACACCATTCTTTGTCGATCACTAGCATGTACTGTACAAAACTGTTTCCATGTTTCACACCAGGTGCTTAAATCCCGTTTAGTTACTGGTTTTTGACTTCTTATTTTGTTTAGCTGATGATGCACCCTTTGAAGACGGAGAGGTAGACGGTTGGCCACTATCACGGGGTGCAACTCCATCCTGTTTATCTCTGGAACTGGAATCAGAATGCTCTTCCTTGTCATCCGATTTTGAATTAAGAAATCGGCCTCCAGCTCCCCTAGCCCTTTTCAGGGCATGTTGATGCCGTGACTCATGGAGATATGGCTGCACAGTGCAGACGAATCAAAATCTTTAGAAGATACAGAAACATAGGTACAAAGAACTTGACAGCTGCAAGAACTGTACATTCCTGATAGTGAGAAACACCTATAAGAACACCCAGAGATGGTATAATTTTGTGGAAGTCCTAACTTAACTTCTGACAGAAAGTGCCAACCTTAAACTCTGTCAAGATTAGAACCAATGCAGTGATCCAAGTAACAAGAGTTTGTATTATTTTGGTACAAAAAGAAGTGAAAAAGGCACAGCTTGAACTTACAAATTTACATGGAAATAGAGAGCAAAATCAACCCACATCCATATTTGACACAAATTTCTTGTTGTGTGGTATCCAATTCCCAGATCCTTAATGTTTTACAATGAGCAATAGCCAGAAGACATTGGAAACTTGGTATGCTAGACATGATAAAAGATTGGATGTATATTCACCATAAGATTTACAGTAGAGCAGATTGATCTTAGTATGGAAGTGGGATATGTAGATTGGAGAATTTAGTCGACTACTTGAAGCAAGTTGTTGTTCACTTGTGCTTCTGACCAACTCGAACTATAATGAAGCATCAGGAAAAGGATAACTAATTAATATTCCATGTTATATGGTTTCGTAAAAGGTGCTAATAAGATTTACCTTACGGCCCTTGACAAGCTTCTTTTCAGACTCAGCTTTGGCTCGAGATTGTCGACGCCTTAATATGGCATTGTACTGTTTTGCATTAACATAGACAGGCTCTTCAATTGCATCGGTAGGCAGTGGTAGTCCAGCTGGATGCATCCCGACCAATGGTGGATGCATCTGAAAAAAGGAACATCACAAAAACATTTTAACAGAGAGTGGAAGTAGCATACAAAGACCCAGAATTACGTAATTGTTTTTTTTTGTCCGGATGCGACGGATCAGGTTATAAAAGGCTATGAGATACTGGCCTACCCTCCCCACGCAAAGTACATGCAGCTATAATAATTTGTACATGAGAGCTTACCATAGGCTGTCCACCATAAGCTGCATAAAGGCTTCCGTAATATGGATCAATATTTGCGTAAGCAATTTGGCCCTGCTGAAAAAAAATGCAGAATTAGACAATAAACATTACAAATGGAATTTGGCGTTATGCATGAACTGTGATCAGGAAATCCAAGCAAAGAAGCAACTCATGGTGCAACCACCAACGCTCTCTTTGGTTAAGGTTAGTAACAAAGAAATTTGGCTATCTGTGGTCGTGTGGAGACTTGTGTTATGGACTGGTGAACATTTGTTGACAACGTATCAAGGAAACGTGGCATAGCAGTATAAATGGGATATGGTATAACTGTCATGGAAGTCATGTGCACCTGTTTGACAATCAAGGTGTGATGCATGGTTTTCATAAGAGGGTCACCTCAAAAGGAAGTAAATTGGTCCTCCACTATGCAAGAGTTTTTCTCTCTGTATATCTGTTAGTTTTAGTATGAAGAGGTGGTTATCAGCCCAAGAATCCAAATCCAAATTCAAACTTGAATCTCCATAGTGATTCTACAAGCCTGCCATGTTTCTCCCATATTTCACTATGATCAGTTGGCTAAATATCCTTAGACTAGGGCTCAAACTGAAAGAACAGAAGTTATACTACTTGCTCATAACTAAAAAAGGGAAAAAATACATGTAATGTACCATTGCATGGGCCATATCGTGATGGGCATAGGGTGTCGCATAATCTGTTGAAGGTGTTGCTACCATTGTATGGCTATCTGTACTAGTAACTGAGGCTTCTTGCTGGTCCTCAGGTTCACCTTGCCTTTGCTGTTTTTGCCGCTCATCAGCTCCATGGTTGCCTACATAGGAAAGAAAACAAAAATGAAAAGGCTTAAAGTATTGCCATTTTTAAAAAGGGGAATAACTGAAATTATATCTGCCAGCACTTAGCAAGCATCGATGGATGTTCCATCAACACTTCAGCACGTCCTTTTTACATGTAGTAATTGATCTAAACACTGCAGAGTGTATGCCAACTTAATGGAACAACTAATATTTCCATAATCCCACCAGCTATAAATTCAGTGTGACAGGCTGCATCTGGAATAATAATATACCTTAATAAATTCAAATTGCCTTCTATACCTGGTTACTAATTGTCCACGTAAATGCCACTGTCTGCTAATACAAATGCCACTGTTTGCTTGGAAAAATCCATAACCGTCATGCGTGCTCAATACACTCCCAATGGAATTTACAGTTGAGCAATCATTGTTGTGATTACAATTTATAACCAGACACTACCCCACTATTTAAACATGAGTAAATATACAAGGCAAACATTGGTGGATGAAACAGACATACCTGAAACATCATGAACTACAGACGTCATGGCTTGGTTGTTTTTGCAGACAGAAGCAGAATCAGGATGATTGTAGTCAAAAGAAACAGACGTTAATCACCCCAGCTTTCCGTGTGCTTCAGGCATATTTTGGTTTTGAAACCTTGTAGGAGAGACAGGAGCTTGCAGCACACCACACTTCCTGCCAATGAACAAAGTTGAATTGAAGCTTCAGTGATCCTAAGAACCAACATAAACCGCATCATTTGATCCTAAACACAAAAAAAACTTCCATTCAAACTACAACAAAGCTGATAAAATAGTCCTTTAAGAAAGGCAGGGATCGTGCATGCATATCTAGGTCTTGAGACTTGAGGCAACACAGTGATGAGTGACACATAACCTCCACCATTATCTATAATTTCGACAAAATTATTCAGACTGCATTAACATTAATGTCTCATTGTAGGTGTGAAAAGTACAGCGACAATTGGTAGGCGAAGATTTTTTTCAGACTCGTGTGAAAATCATTAACGAATACCGGATATATCAAGACAGGATTATCTGATGATTGCTTAGCCCTTTGACCTCCCACCTTCCAAACCTCACCAACGCAAACAAGAACCGCACAACACAGGGATAGATATTGTTTGTCGAATTCTACCCGAAATTCTTGCCGCCGTGGGGAAACGAGTGTGGGTTCACGGATTCGGAGGGGGAAACGGGAATTCTCCTCGCAAACTTCCTCCCTCCAGAAAAGCAAAAGGAGCAGAGCAGAGCAGAACAGAAAGCGAGAGGGAGAAGGCGGGCTTACTGACCGGGAGGAAGAGGCCAGGCGAGCGGAGGTGCGGGATGGTGAGGGAACTCTCCCGGCGAGGCGATCCCGGCGAACTCTATCCCCGCCGGCGGCGAGCGGCGGCGACGGCGACGGCGACGGCGAGAGGAGAGGAGAGGGAGATGAGATGAGAAGAGGAGAGGAATTATTTTTTTTTGTTTTTATTTCTTTTGGGTTCGTTTCGGAAAAGGAAAGCGGAGGAGCGCGCGTGATCTGGGCCGTCGGATGGATGGGCTGGGGTGGATTGGATGGCCCGGATGTGGCCCACGCGTTGGGAGTGGTGGGCCCGGGCGCATCCGCGTGTGTGGCTGCCGAGGTGTCTGTCTCTCCCGGCCTCTTGCACACCTCACCCTCTCCTGCCTAACGTCACTACTACTGTTCATGACTTGAAACCGTCAAAATGGCCCATAATTCACTATTACTAAATATATTTATATCATTATAATATAAGTAAATTATACTCCCCGTTCATTCTAAGTGTAGTTGTGGGTTTCTATATCCAACGTTTGACGATCCGCCTTATTTGATTTTTTTTATGATTAATAATAATAATATTATTATTAGATAATAAAACATTAATAGTATTTTATGTATAACTTATCTTTTTAATTTTTTCAAATAAGACGGGACGGCAGTTAAACGTTGGACATAAAACCTCCACAACCGCACTTAAAATAAGTCGAAGGGAGTATAATTTTGGTCATATTTATCGTTTTAGTATTCAATGCTTTTTTTTATTTGTTTCACACTACAAGACGTTTTGGATTTTTAATGGATTCATGCATGAATTTAATTTATGTGTGTGCTTCATATATGTGTCTAAATTTATAGTTAATCCACACGAGGGATAGAAAGACCAAAACAACTTATAATATGGAATGGAGCGAGTACTGCCACCGTCTCAAAATAAATTTATTTTTCATACATCTCACACATACCAATACAAAATCAAAAAGACTATATAAAATACATACTTTAATTATCAAATCTCAATGTAACTATTTTTCACTTTATCTACTCTTAATATATTCCATATTTTTATAAACTCTGATGCAATGATTACTCTAAAAATGAACTTGTGTCGGCACAAATGTAAGGAGATAAATTAAGGGCCTGTTTAGTTCGTGAAAAGAAATTTTTTGGATGTCACATCGGATGTTTGGCCGGATATCAAAAGGGGTTTTTGGACATGAATGAAAAACTAATTTCATAACTCGCCTGGAAACCGCGAGACGAATCTTTTGAGCCTAATTAATCCGTCATTAGTACATGTAGGTTACTGTAGCATTTTATGCTAATCATGGACTAATTAGGCTCAAAAGGTTTGTCTCGCGGTTTCCCCCCCCCCCAACTGTGAAATTAGTTTCTTTTAATATATATTAATGCTATATGCATGTGTCCAAAAATTCGATAGGATATTTTTGGAAAAAAAATTAGGAAACTAAACCAGGCCTGAACTTATTATGGGACAAAGGGAGATTTTACCACAATCATTGCATCGGGGTTTGTGAAAGTAAAAAATAATTACTGGGAGTACATAAAGTGAGAAATATTTGTATCGGGATTTGATAAAATATGTGTATTTTGTTTTTTATTGGTATGCGTGGGATAGTAGGATGTGTGAAAAATAAACTGAGATTAGTAAATATTTGGATCTATTTATAGTCTAAGTTGTATAAAATCATAAATTTTTTGATATATGAGTATCACGGTTCTAAAATTTTACAAAACCATACCATTAACTACACGCAACACAGAGTCTCACAAGCTTCCAGCAGAGTAGCTACGCACTATGTGACCCAACAATCCACCATAGAATTCCAAGAACGAGAACGACCTTCTCTATCAATATATTAAAAAAAAAAAGGGGGCAAGGGCCTTCTCTTAGGGGGGAAAAAAGGAACGAGGATTTAACCCAACACTGTCTTTTTCTTATCCAGACCGAGAGTCTGGTTAACCTCGATTTCCACATATAAATTAGATTTCTACAATACGATGGGACCTGAATTATGAAAAAGAAACTGAGCTAGTTATATTCCTTGAATTGGTTCTTGCTAATTTTATTGCATGCAATGACAAGGGTTCCCGGTCATCATATTTCCTGTATTTACAGTCAAATAAACTTATTGGCGGTATGCTGTCGGGGATGTAATACGTTTCTATTGTCTAAAAGTATCTCACATTCTATGTTATCTGTTACTAGTAGGGTATGCAAGGATTTGCAACATAATAATAATAATAATAATAATAATAATAATAATAATAATAATAATAATAATAATAATAATAATAATAATAATAATAATAATATTATTATTATTATTATTATTATTATTATTATTATTATTATTATTATTAAAGCTGCAACATAATATTATTGCGACTATCTTCAATTTAACCAGCCGCAAAGCGCGTGGGTAAAGTGGTAAACAACTAGTTGGAAATAAAGCTTCTGCCAGAAAAAGAGTATCAAACAAACCACAAGCCTGAAACAGTTCAAGCTGTTTTTAAAAAATAAAAAATAAAAAGAAGAAGAAAGGAACAGTTCAAGCTCAGCATCTGTCTACAAACATCTTGGCCCATTATAACGAGCCCATGAACTGTATGGCCCATCATTGAGGCCCCGGCAGGATCAAAACCTAACCTGGAGGCCCAATAACAAAATTTGGTCCACGCTACGGCACATCAGAGGAAAATGTGGTCAAATAGGCTATCACAACAAAAGTCCAGTTTCTTCATCTCGTGATCTCGTCAGGTCCAAATTCCAATAGCACAAATTTCTCCTTTTCATTTATGGCCTGTTTAGTTCACGAAAAGAGAATTTTTAGGTGTCACATCGGATATTTGACCGTATATCGGAATGGCTTTTCGGATACGAATGAAAAAACTAATTTCATAACTCGCCTGAAAAGCACGAGTCGAATATTTTGAGCCTAATTAATCCGTCATTAGCATATATGGGTTACTATAGCACTTATAACTAATCATGGACTAATTAGGCTCAGAAGATTCGTCTCGCGATTCCCCCCTAAATGTGACCAATGCGAATTCTTCTGCTACAGTGCTACGTGCCTACGTTAGAGTAAGAGGAGAAAGGAGAAGATATGTAAAACTGGATAAGCTAGGCATTAGCTTATTATTAATTAAGTATTAATTACTTTAAATTTGAATAATTAATTAATATGTTTTTTAAAATAATTTTACCATTTAAAAGTTAGGAAGCGTACGTGCAGATAACGAGTGAGCTTTCTACTCAATGTGATAGTATTGCCGAACACAGCTTTTAGACCAGGATATTTAATTTGGATGAAATTACTTATGAACATAAACTAAAGGAAAAGGATAAATCACTCCACAATTTGCCACATGATGACATAAATTACTATTATTAAACTATAAAACCAACCGCAAAAGATAATGGGATAGATCATATTTACATACAGGAGAGATGACAATCACACGAGGAAAAAAAACAACTGAAAGTAAAAAAATGTAGCGCCATAATTTTAGCAATCCCGATGATAATTAACAATGACAATGCAAATATTACTAATTCTCTATCTACACATAGATAACTTCAGTGGATAGTAATAGTATAATAGTAACTTTTTTTTCAGTTGCCGGCGGCGCCGCCGACCGCCGGCTTGCTGCCGCCTTCCTCCACCTTGCCGGCGGCGACCTCGGCGGCGAGCGCCTTGGCGGTGTCGTAGGAGGCGTGCAGGCCGAAGAAGAAGTAGTAGGCGAGCAGCGCCGCCGTCCAGACCCCGAACCGCATGAACGACCTGCCGTCGATGGAGCCGAGGAGGAAGATGTTGATGAAGATGGACGCCGACGGCAGCCATGGCACCAGCGGCACCCCCCACTTCTCCGGCGTCCTCGCCATCGGCACCCTCAGCTGCAGGAACAGCGTCGCCGCGAGCCACGCCGGCACGGCCACCGCGTACGCCGCCCACCCGCCGCCGTCGCCGCCCAGCCCCCAGTACGCCGCCGTCGCGACCGACGACGCCACGATCACGGCGAGGCAGCCGGCGAGCCTGTTCCGGTCTCCGCGCGCCGTCTCGCCGGTGGCGTAGTAGCGGCGGACGAGCAGCGCGACGGCGACGAGCATGAAGATGAAGAGCGTGGAGATGGAGAGGAGGTTGGCGAGGACGCCGAGGTCGGTGAACAGCGCGATGGCCGCCGTCGCGGCGAGCATGGCCACCGTGGCGTTCACCGGCGTCCCCAGCCTCGGGTGCACCCGGGCGAGGCACGGCGGCGCCATGTGCGCCCTCGCGATGTGCGTCAGGTACCTCGCCTGCCCGACGGCGCTGACGAGCAGCACGGTGGTCATCCCCTTGAGCGCGCCGAACGCCACCACGTACCTTGCCCACCCCATGCCGGCGGCGGAGAACGCGACGGAGAAGGGCGCGTCGGGGTCGATCTCGCGGTAGGGCTGCATGAGGCAGAGCGTGGCGGCGAGGGCGCAGTACGCCGCCGTGGTGACCGCCATGGCGCCGACGAGCCCCGCGGGGATGTCCCTCGCCGGGTCCCGGGTCTCCTCCGCCATGGTGCTGACGGCGTCGAACCCCACGTACGCGAAGAAGAGCACCGCCGACGCCGCGAACACGCCGCGGGCGCCGAAGGGGGCGAAGTCGGCGGTGAGGTTGGAGAGCCTGGCCCTGGAGATAGGGGTGCAAACGGACCGACCCGCAAGTTTAAATAAATAATAATTTATGGGTTTTCGCGTCGCGGTCTGGCTTGCCGCATCTAAATATATAAGTGGATCAATTTATAAATCCATTTATAAATCAAATTCATAATTAACCCGCTAGTTCAATCGACGGGTTACACTATTTTTGTCTATAAACGGGTTCACGGATAAACCCTCTTGCACCCCTACCTTGAGAGGCCGGCGGTGACGATGAAGACGAGGACGGCGAGGTGGGCGATGGAGAGGGCGTAGTTGAAGCGGGAGGAGGCCTTGGTGCTGAGGACGGAGAGGGCGCAGACGACGGCGATGACGGCGACGGCGATGGGGTCGAGGCGGGAGTAGTCGGCGGCGAGGGAGGCGGCGTGGATGCGGAAGTCGTTGGGGCGGTGGTTGAGGAGGGTGGCGAAGTAGGACGTCCACGCGCGCGCCACCGCCGCGCCGCCGATGCAGTACTCGAGGAGGATGTTGCCGGCGGCGATGAACGCCACGAAGTCGCCCAGCTCCACTCGCAGGTAAGCGAACGACCCACCTGTCAAACGTATGTGACACAGTGATATAATATACACACATCGTGTGTCAATAAATTACTCCATCCATTTCCAAAATATAAGCGTTATTAGGATAATGCTAAGTCAAATATTTTTAACTTTAACTATTAATAATAAAAAAAGATTAATCATGTAAAATTGATGTTACTAAATTTATCACTAAAAAAATATCATACTGTGCAACCATTTTCATCTAAAACATATTATTTTTAGGGCGAATAGCTAAGGTGGTCCTCCAAGTATTATCTGAGGCTCGGTTTAGTCCCTGATGTTTCAATCTATCCATATTAGTCCTTCAAGTTTTTATTTTAGTTCAAACTTATCAATAACCAACAATTCTCTCGATAAATGACACTTATACCCCCTCATCATTCACATATATAAGATAAAATTGCATGCTTAAATTTTTTTTATAGATAATGCATAGTAAATTATATAAAACAAAAATAAATTATGTACTAGCAAGTGTATACGATAGCAATTGCTTATGTTTCATGTGCACATGTTGAAATAATGAAAAGTACATTTGTAATGTTGTTTATTCATCTTGGGTTTATAGTTGTATACAAATTAAGGGCAAAAGGGACATTTTCTAATAGAAATATTGACTAGAAATAGCTATAAGGCATATTAAGTGGGTCCAAGGATGATTTACAAAATGAAACGTGAAGGACTAAATTGAGCCTTCGGTAAAACTTGAGGGACTAAATTAGCTATTCACCCTTGTTTTTATAGATATTGTTGGTCAAAATATTATCTCGAAAATTGTGTTAAAGTCCCAAAATGCTTATATTTTGAGATGGATGGAGTAACATAATTAATTTAGTTTCTCACATAAAAAAATTGTTCTTTATATAAAAAAATGTTTCAGTGTTTACTTGTGATCTAGCATTCTTTTTTATACTCAGATGCATGCCGCCTTAAAATATATAGTATTATCATAATTTCCTTATCTCTCCAAGGATAAAACACAAAAAAAAAATCTGATAATTAGAAAGTTTGATGAGAATTAATTCGATTAATTAATGGCCTACAGAAGCAGTGCATGTGTGAGAGAGTATCGATCACGTTCTAAAAAGGCCCTAATTAATTCATCAATCTCCTTTATTCTGTTTGAATATTCACCACCACCAGGACGTATTCCTGACCAGATTAAACATGAATAATAAATCGGATATTACATAGTGTATTAATCAACGTCGTATAATTAAGGCATAATCATCCAGAAAAGGTGACGTCATTGCATGCAGAGGCGGAGATGATCATATCACTGACCGGCGACGGGGATCTCGATGGCGAACTCGGTGTAGCACAAGACGGAGAGCATGGCGGAGACGCCGGAGACGGCGTAGGAGAGCACGACGGCGGGGCCGGCGGCGTCCCTGGCCTCCTGCCCCGTGAGCACGAAGATGCCGGCGCCGATGACGGCGCCGACGCCGAACCAGGCGAGGTCCCACCACGTCAGGTTCCTCTTCATCTCCGCGCCGCTCCGCCCCCTCACCTCGTTCACCTCCACCGCCGCCGCCGACCTCGCCGTCGGCCGCTCCACCAGCCGCGGCCCCGTCTCCATCAGCGCCCTCCCGTACGCGCCCCAGCTCGCGAACGACTCCTCCGGGAACAACCCCCCGCCGCCTCCCCCGCCGCCGCAGCACCCCCCTCGCCGCCGCACCTCGCCGCCGGCCGCCGCCTCCGCCATGGCTGCCATTTCAGAGGAAGGTAGCTGCGCGCCTGCGACTAGGTTTAGCCAGCGAGATCGCGGCTGCGAGTGTGCGTATATATAGCTGATGAGTAGGGGGGGGGGGTTACCTGCGGGAATCTCGGCCGTTCGATTCAGATCCAACGGTCAGGAATCTTCGTCTGCCTGATACCAGTCCACACACAGCCCCGGAGGGAATCTCGGCCGTCCGATTCAGATCTGCACCTGCCTTGATTCCAGGTCAAGTCTGTGGTGAATCTGTTGGGCGTCAAGATTCGTGCTGGGGTGAATATTGAATATTCCCTGGGCCCACCGTTCGCAGCTGTAAAACAGCACAGACGAGACAGGCTAGCAGATTCTGGCACCGGGCGGTTGCATCAGTTTCCTTTTTTGTTTGTTTTTATTTTATTTTGGGTTAATTACGAGGGGAAGACGGGTACAAAATTAGTAAGCAGTTTGTGGGAGAAGCCACACGGCACGGCCAATATTTGAAAAACAGAAGGTTTTTAAGCTGTGTTTAGTTCCACGCTAAAATTGAAAGTTGGAAGAAATTAAAATGATGTGACGGAAAAATTGGAAGTTTGTATATGTAGAAAAGTTCGATGTGACGGAAAATTTGAAATTTAAACATGGCCTTTATCGAGGATTATATTATCAAGGATTATATTTGAAAAACTGGATTTCGCTCATATAATATACGAAAATTTCACTACAATGATTCAGCCTTTTTTTGGGAATAGCTGAATCATTTTGTGATAACTATTCAACGACACAAACGGATAAATTAACTAGAATTAAAAAGTTGTAAAATATATTTAATATATAGTTCTTTATAAGGAATTTATATATAGAATGATTATGTGAAAATCGAACCGTTTACGAACTGAATGGAATAGTTCTACTTCTATATCCTTAGAAAGAGCACACAGTGGAGATACAGGAATCAGCCGGAGAAACAAAAATATTGCAGTGTAGCTGTGTGCACAATGCGGTCTAAAAAACTTGACTCCAAGTTAACATTGCTGAAAGTCGTAGAAAACCAAGCCTTGTATGCACGGACTGTTTGCACAAGGCCTCGCTACACTTGCATACAACAAAAAGAGAACTGCTTTGGTAACGTGCAACTTATTTTTCCTTCTTTTTCGACTGCCTTTACAATACATCTTCACAAGACAAAAGCACAAAAATTGCATGAATTATATAGACTTCTTTTTTGTTGAAACAATAACGACGACTATTGACTAGTCCATCCTTTCAAAACATAAGAGATTTTGGTTCGATTTCTGTGAAGATTCGTAGTACTATCATGTATTATATCCAATCAAAATATCTTATATCTTGGGATGAAATGAGTAATACTCCTACTTACACATGTCCTTTGTCGCCAAAAAGAATAAAAAATGAGCTATCCGAATGCTATTGACCTAACTATAACCTACGGATAACTTTGAAAAAATAATAACAAATCAGAATTAGCAATGACATAAATATAGGCATGCATATGACGGCCTGCCGGATTCGAACCGACCACCAAAAAGTGATTAGGTGAGCATGGAATTTCACCTCCATCCCATGCATATCCCCTTTGTATGCTCTTCCGACCGAGCACAAGGCCGTTGACACCTTATTGACACACATGAACCATACTTTTCCATTATTATTTTCTCCTTTTATTTTCAATTTAGTAACAAGCATTCACTTGTGATCTCACTGGACATGTATGCTATGGGCTAACACAAACATAGAGAATTTTCTAGTCACCCTTGAACTATTTCGTCAGATCCATTATTAGTTTAAACAGTTTTTTGGACCGCTTTACTATTGACCCACTGAAAATGGCTCATAAGTGGCATTTCCCTTTGTACAAAACACATTTTAAATTTAAATTGTATAACAGTAATTTGACAATGTATTGTAGCCCACTCTAAAAACAAGTACTGCACCGAAGTATATTTGGGCTCATCGTTCTTCTGTCCAAGGATTTTGGGCTTAGGAAGAAAGGGTCATAGCTTTGTGCCAATAATACGTTACGTACCCCCAAGTTGGAATTGTAGTGCTTAATATATATGGTTTCTGCGGTCATGAAGTGAGGCATCTTTTCTCTTTCTCACTCTCTAAACACTTCCATTCTTCCACAGTGAAAACCTTTCTAACATACAGCAACAATTGGTATCAGGTGAACAGCAATATTACCGTGGACTCTCGTGCAGCCAGTTCGCTCGTCCAATCAAGGAGCACTGTTGCCAAAAAAAACGTGGCAGCTATTCCAAATAGCCAAAAAAAAAAAGAATAAAGAAACCGCAAAAAACAGTGAGGGAAGGGATGTTATCGACTGGTGATTTGCTTGGGACGGTCTAGACGCCTAGTTTCCTCCTGAGCTGAAGATGATTATGCGACGTATATCATGCTGGTCTACGAGTGCACCTTCGGTTCCCACTAGGCAAACAAGCTAATAACAATATAGTACTCGCTAACTAATTAACATATCTAAGAATGTGTTCATTTTCTGTCGGTTGATATAACAAAATCCAGGACCTTTGTTTTTTTTTTCTTTTCTTTTTGGAACGGGTTGGTTGTTAGTGGCTTGCTTTTGCCCTGTTGTTAGCCTGCACAAAGTACATATAAGCTGGTAAAATACTTGAATTCATACTTACGATTGTGATATCAGATATTCATGCACGTCTGTATCCACCTGACCTGCCAATGGTAATTCTGTGGCTGATTAATGCATGAGCAGTCCAAATAAAAAAGGCATGGGCGCATGGCCCCGTACTTAACAGTTAAAGAATCCGGACAAGCAAAGTAATGGAACACATACCACATGATTCGGATGCTTTTTTTTTTCTGGACGAAATACATACACATACACCACGGATGATAGATTAAATGTATCCATGTACCTGCAGCAACAACAGGAGTAGGTCCATGAACATTGATTGGCTCACACAAACAAGTGTGATTTATAGCATACAAGTGGTGTAAAATCTGCTTGCATGGAAGTGTGATTTAGCATGACATTAATTGAAAATGAAATGGTCTCATCAAGAATGGTCTCAAAAGCAGTAGACTTGCCCTGCTGAAACTAAAACCACATCTTGGGTACTGTATGATTATAAATAAATGATATATATACAAACAGAAGCCCAAACTGCACTCATGTTGACTCTGGATGTTGGCACATGCAGAAGAGGCCCATGAAGCAGGACTGCAAATTTCTTATGTGCAAACGAGATGGCTAATCCGGTCGCTATATTCACAGAATGGCAAGGCATCAGAGTGACTTACTTCAGTGCAAACAGCACACATCTCAAAAGGTGAAGACAGATATTATTATGGTCATTGTTATTGTTATAGGGTTTATTTTAACTTTACAGCTAATTAGATGCTTCAAAAAAAATTGAAAATGACCAGGGGTTCATTCAAATGTACCCCCGGGAAGAAATCACCGTGTAAACTCTATATCCTCAATCCAGTCAATGTAATAATGTTGTTGGCCTGTACAAGAAGGGGCAGTATTAACCTTGTCAGCAAGTAAACATGAACCTCGTTCAGGAGACACACTAAGGCAACCAACAAGTCCATCAGTCCACACTTGAGCGCTTTACCTTCCTCTGGATAGCCCGAATTAGTCCATCTAACCTAAATAAATAACGTGTTCAAATTCTTCTGCGCCAGAAAGCTCAGCAACTTTGTGATCTTTTTGCAGTACAGTATGTTCCACGATCCCATACCTTGCTACACAATTACCATCCTGAAAAATGGACAAAAGAAAGAATAAAGAACTCCATCTCCATGAAGTCATTTTAAAGTCAACAAGCCGTACAGAATTTTATGATTGAAACAGCATTGAAGGTTGGCCAGAAGATCAGGTATTGTCATGCACAGTACATTTTTCTCATAGTCCTCACATGTTGAAGGAACTGGAGATACCGACATAAGGTTTCTGCAGTAAATTTACATCGCTTTAATAAATCTAAGGTAAATTTATATCCATTACTCATGATTGCTTTAATAAATCTAAGTAAATTTATATCCATTACCCATGATTGTTTTAATAAATCTAACTGTGAGTGCAATAATTTTGTTCTTGAACAAAATCGCTATATTAAACCCTGGAATCACTTCTCCATGCCCAAGTGATCAAATTCACTGTATGGATATTAATCTTTAAACAATTTTCTTCAGTTCAATTGATTTGGATAAAATCCACAAAAATCTTAGCAAACAACAGGTGCTAACCTTCAGCGAAATTTGGATGAAAAATACAGTGTATCTATTTAGGGTAGGTAGCAAATGTTAAGTAAGCAACGACCTAGTAGGGATCTTATGTCACTAGAAACAAACAATAGTAAATTGTGCTTTCGGTTATGTATTCTTGCCAAAGTTTCAATTTGGACCGCCTTGGGAACATTCTTTGGCAAAAGTTGCACTTTGGACTGGGTGGCCCACATGTCAATGAGACTAACCATCTCTGTTGTCCATGTCTCATTTGCATGTGGGTCACCCGGTCCAAAATGTCTGATTAACATTTGCCAACAATACCTAGCCCAAAGTGAAAAAATAACACTTAAGGGTGATCCAAAGTGAAACTTTGGCAAGAATACCTAGCCCAAAGCGCAATTTACTCAACAAATAATGACCTTCAGTTTTTGTTTCCCTTTTGGTGCATAATGATAGCATGAGCTGCAGATTGCACAGGTACCTGTCAGTAAATCCAAGAACATTTCTGCAGTGAACTTCTGCCCAGTACAATCGACAAGCACGCATGACACATACATACTGGGGTAGCACCCAATTGCAGTTACCTCCTGCCAAAGATAACAAGTGATCAGAATACACAATGGAAGGAATTCAACGAATTTTGGTCCATATGAGGCAAATTTACATATGTTGTTTAATGTTGGCAGAATTTTCGCTTACTGTAAAAATGAACACTATAAATTTACTGAACCAAACAACAATTCTAGTTTCCAACACAAGTTTTTTATGCTCAGATCAGGAGAGACGGACAAGCATATGAAAAGGAATGATCTGAATGCTCATCTATGACTATGAGCTTTACATTGCAAATATTAACTGTAACAATTACCTGACTTATAAACTTTACTTCCTAATTCATTGATCCGCGGCACCTAAACAACCGGAAAATAGTTAGCGGGAGAGGTAAATAAAAATATGTATTGCATCAATAATAGCACAAGTGATTGCATTCAATGAACAAGAAATGTGTTTATGCAACTCCAAAGATTCAAAATGCTGTACCATGAGAGTAGCAATCTAGGCTAGGCCAAGGCCACAGTTGAGATAATCAATGGTAAATATAAAATATGCAACCTTGGCAACAGCATTTACAAGCTCGTTTCAAACATATATAACAGAATGCTGTTAGCAAAATTTATGAAAAAAGGGGTAACGAACTAAGCATTTAATTTTAAAAAAAAAATTGGATTTGGCATGTATGTATACCATAGAAACGTCATACTTCAGACATAGCATAAAATAAAATAACTGTTCTTTCTAAAACTCATTAAGTAGTGACTACTTCAGGACAAGACAACATTATGTTTTGGCACAAGTTTGTCATGCTTGAAAATCTATCTCAAGGAGATTTACCTCTGGGAACCACAATGGCATGGAATCTTTTTTTCCTCCAGTGGAAATTTATAATTATAAGTCAGTTCCTCGCCAGCATATATACGCCTCTTTGCATAAATGACAATCTTCTTCTGGCCCTCGACAGTAATTACTTTTGTATAGCAATTTGGCTGGTAGGAAAAACAAGACGTCATTTAGCATAGAATAAGCATCACAACTGAAAGTTTCATGTTAAACAGCTTACATCACAAGAATGGTTGATGAATCTTGCTAACCCACCACGCTTAGTAGCATCAACCTTCAAAGATTAAGAAAATAGGCACAATTAATACAGAAGAGCACAAGGTGCACTCATAAAATTTGGTAAAGAAAGAGCACAATATAGAACAGGTTGAGGTTACAAAACAACAGAACTATCCTGACCATACATCAAAACAAACAAAAACCAACTAACTCTGCTGTTGTCTAATAGGCGAACATAAAAAAGAAGTAAAAAAATGTACATAGCATCTTAGATGGATGTAGTTGAAGGAAACTGGCTACACCTACCACATAGTCATCGTCCAAACGGAAAAGGTAACTGCTTCCAATTCCACTTTTCTCGTATTGATCCTCGCGTATGTCCGAGACCTGTGGGATATAAATCAATCTTATAACATGTTGCTCAAATGCAGTAAATCAATGAAGGGATCGTTGTTCATTAAGTCATAATTACCTGTCGGCGGATCAGCTCACCAACATATTCAATTACAAAATCTTCTGCATCAATAGACTCAAGAGCCACCAGACCCCATTCATGGATCTTACTCCTTTGAAAACGTAGCCGCTTCTTCCTTGACTGTATACCATTTTCAAATTTCAAATTTCACAGAATAGAAACATTTGCACTTGACAAAATAAAATATACTGTTTTACCTTCGATTGCATAATTTTTAGTAGGTCAGTGCCTTCAGCGGCTGCTAACAGATTCCGTAGCTTAACCCGGTTTGTTCTTGCAGATGAGCCCTTAACTTGTGAACTTTTCAATACATTATTTTCTGGAGCTGAGAGAATACTCCTCACTCGGTAGCCTCTCACTTGAGCTCTTTCTGATGGAGTGGCATTGCGTGCCCAATCACGCCATTCCCATCCACTCACAGAAGCTCTTGCACAACCATATGATTCAGGACATAAAACCAACGGTTTTTTCTTCAGGTTGGACTCATTGGACAAGTTTTTCTGCTTTCTTTTCTTCGCAGGCATTGTAGATGTAGTTCTATTGTCAATAGGAGCTTCACAAACATACGATTCTGGACTTGTTAACGGTTTTGCCTTCAGTTTGGATTCACCAGACAAGTTTTTCTTTCTTTTGTTTACAGGCATTATAGCTGTAGTTCTTTTCTCAGTAGGCGCTTCACAACCATGTGATTCTGGAGATAAAATTACTGCTTTTGTCTTCAGGTTGGACTCAGTGGCCAAGTTTTTCTGCTTTCTTTTCTTTGCAGGCATTGCTGATGTAGTTCTATCCTCAGTAGGCACTTTGCTACTAACAAGAGGCTTACTGGTAGGATGGGAAGACCTGTTTCCTGGCAACGAAAGATGAATGTTAACTCTGTGAAATGTATTTATATTAAAAAGGAGATGGAGATGAGGACTGAATGACTCACTCTTTGGCACCTTGTCGGAAAGGAGTTTCAAGTCCTGCTGGATATTCAGATTAATATTATCATTATGTGAAGGTTTGGCACGCTTTTTGGAGGGCTTCTCCACAACAGAAACTCTCTGCGAAATCCCAGCCTTGCTTGATCGATGGATATTTTTCATATTAACCTTGCATTCAACAAGATCACGAAGAGGTCTGGAGAGCTGCTCATCCATTGGTTTTTCTGATGATGATGCTTCACAGTTTTTCCTCAGTTTCCTCTTCCTGTAGTAAGTATATTCTTTGGGTCTCAATGTATCATCCATGGTTTTAGCCACAATATTTTTCCTGGCATACCATGAGTCAAAACAATTGCTGAGAGCACCTGAGAAGAGAGATGCCCACTCTTTCATTACACTCTCATGCAGTATTTGCCTGAAGAATGCCCAACTAGTATATCTATAAATGTCAAGCACTGAGTCTACTGATTTTGAGGGCTGGTATTTGTTTTTCTCCATAATCACCAATGAAGCTAAGCCAGCCTCTGTTCCAGGAGGCACCTCATCAAAACTGTCATCCAATTCAGCTTCTTCATGTGCATCCAACTTTTCAAATATACTTGCATGAGATGCAGAGGGCGATTGATGTTCCACTGCATCCAAATTAAGGAATTAGAATAATTTAATGTTGCTCAGGTAAGGCAATGCAACAGAAGATGTTATTCATTTACCGTAAGGAATGATCAGTTTGTCTGTTGTCACTTCAGGAACAGTTGATGTTCCAGATGCCGCCATATCAGCAGGGCAGGGTATTGTATCTACAGCCATATCTGAAATTTCATCTCGAGCCATTTCAGCCATATCCGAAATTTCATCTCGAGGCATTTCAGCAGGACTGGGCGTTTCATGCACAGATATTCCAGGAGGACTGGATGGTTCTGGTGCGTGAACAGGCGTACGAATTCGTTCCTGCAATACAACACTTAGATGTAAAAATCATGCAAATTCTGAAATATTAACAGCTATCAATAAAAAGTAGTTATTATTGTCATCTCACTTGATTAATATCATCTTCAAATCCAATGCACAAACAGTTTGTTATCTCCTCTGAAATGACCTCCTCAAAATGCTGGAACAAAGCTTCCTTTGCTGCCACATATAGTTCATTTGCCAGCATTACCTGAACTCGTCCTAAGGGGCCAGAAAACAACGTGATACTTGATCCAGACCTCCCATCTGTTTTTTCAGTAACATACTCAACACACGCAGAGTGGGAATGCTCAGCAGATTCCTGATTTGGTCCAAATCCTGGAGGGAAATCCATGTCACTTTCAGGAGCATCTGAATCACAAATTGCCTGCAAACCATGAAACTGTCAGAAAATCATATCTGCAGCGAAAGAAGGATTTACATCTTAAATGTTAAACCCATCTTTCAAAGAAAGAAATGTGTTTAGTCCTATTGGAGAAACCTTTGGTGACATTTCATCTGTGTCTTGCATCTTTTGGTTATCAGAGGCTCCAGGAACAACTGTAGAGAGAAGATTCGACTCATTTTTTCTTTTAAGCCATGCATCACAGTAGTCCATGACAGGATCATACAGTACTTCATCCCAGATACTCTTCATGGATTTGTTATAAATTGTTTCCCAAACTGCCGATAATATATCAGCAAATTCATACTGCATTGCAGTTGATTGAACAGCCACAGAAGGATCTTCCGGTACTTTATTATTATACGAGTTTAGGCTTTTTGGACGAGTAGATGTTCCATCACCCTTGCCCTTAAGTACCAAAGCATTCTTGTTACTCACATTGTCAGTCTGGAAAAATAAAACCATCTTGGACAGGATTAAAATTTGCAAATGGGTAGGTAATACAAAAGAAGTTCATGTCCCAAAAACCATGACAGATAAAACACACCTTAGCAGCTTGGCTCTTACGTTTTGCAGCCATTTGCTTCTCTGTCTTCCTGCAAGCAATCATTTCTGGAAGTACGCTGCTAAATATTTCATCAATAAAAACTTTGCGGGCTGATTTCATAATTCCAGCATGCAGCTGATGGCTGATATCTTCAACTACATCATCCATTAAAGCGTTCAGTGACCCAGAATCATTGGCTGAAGATTCTGAATGCTCTGTGCCTCCACTCCACCAATCAATTAGTGATACAAGTGTAAATGGGCCAAACTTGCTATCAACATGGTAAATCTGTTAAAAAAAGAAGTGTTATTGTTCAGATCATGTACTAGTGTGAACCAAGAATAATTCACAAATGTAAATCCACTGGAATTGGGGGAGCTGTGTACATAACACGTTATAACTGATCTGTCATCCTGTTACAAGAAGATACTCAAAAAAACCTAACCAACAGAAGTTCCACCATAATCATATATTAGCCTTTACCCATAAGTTGGGTGAACCTAAATGATTTCCATACAGCACATAGCCTATTAATTTATTGATTTATTCCAACTTAATTGAGATACCTTAAAAAAATTCCTCCACCAGGAGGGAAAAAGATATGTATAAGAACAATCACAATATGTATAAGAACAATCACATCAAATATTCTTTTTGTGATGCTATCTACCAAAACCAATAAATGAATTATGTTTCAAGAGGTTTTTTTAAAAAAAAGAAGACAACAAATCGAATCTAGTCCTAAATGTCAAATAATTAAATTGAATCATAAAAGTTAAACCAACATTTATTATCCATCACTTAAATGATTCCACCAGCTAAAGATTACATGTATTTCATTATTTATGGTGCGGTCAGAAAGTCTTTATTACCTCTTATAGATGGTAATAGTAATACTCTTTATTACCTCTTATAGATAGTAATAGTAATACTAACCATTAGATCTCATAGAATGGATGGCTCAATATAGATGTTTGGTTGAAACACCGTAACATTTTCCAATTAAGCTGACAGCTAATGGAAACGGGATGAGGAATAACAAATATTGTTTGGATTGAGTGGGCGATCGCTTTTGCAGTAACACTTTCCAAATGCACTCGATATTCAGTGGTAACGAGATTGTATTGGGCCCGTATTGTATACTGCAGTATCCAATACTAGTGTACGCAAACCAAATAAATTATAACTTAATCAAGTTGCAGTGTCAATGGATTGTGGAGAAAAACAGCCAAACCAAGCAGCACTCTAATTTGGTGCACCGTAAAAATCTCCTGTACTATTTTATCATCTAGTACATAAGAGCATTGTAACAGCCTGATATTCTACATGTAGTGGTTAGTTAGGGCCAAATTGAAACAATATCTTCAATTTATTCTACAACAGCCATTTCATTACTTGTTTAAAAACACTATGCACGTCACATTAATCACATTAACAGTCCAATAAAATAGAACATTTGCAAGCAAAGCGTAAGAGTGGATCCAGAACACATGGTTTCGACTGATGCTTTTCTTACCATTGAAAGGTCATGTAGATAGCTACTGTGATGCCAATAAGAAAGTTCAGCAAGAGAATGTGGCCCATGCCTGCGGCCTTCTGCGTCCTCAAACATCCAACATGATTCTTCACTTGAAAGATTCTGGCAGAGAGAACATGAATCACACAAATAAGGAAGGTAGACAAGCAAGAGGATGATGTGCTAATATGGAAAGAAATAAAAGCCATACATCAGGAAGAATCAATTTGTTAACAGGGGCCATTTTCTTATTCTCCACCGATTCGTCTCTTGTGGCGACCACAGAATCAGAACTCCATTGTGAAAGAAACTGTTTCAGGGAACCTAAGGAAACAGGGTTGGCCATTTTCCCACCAAAAACGGCATAAATAGCAAGGTCTCGATGCAAGAAACCAGTGGATAATCCATCGTACAGTTGTTCAGGTGGATAAGGGCCGCACATCTGCCCAAGCTGATTCATATACATGCAGCCTTCCAAATTCTGATGCAGCATAGACCCGCCACCACCGTGCGTCCCGTTCTGGCCAGCTGAATACCCTAGCCCGGACTGCGGACACACCACACCTTTGCTATCGATGGAGCAGGCGTTCTCCTGCATCGCGGCAAACATGCTGGCGCTTTGCGTCTGGTCGCCGCTGCAGGAAGCCACCTGATGCCGGTCCGAACACCTGAGCAACACAACCAACCATGTGAGATGGCGAAGGCCAAAATATCGGTCGATCAACTGTAAAACTGATGACGAATCAGATAAGGAAAGGATCAGTGAAGGCTGTACCATCCAACGAAATCCCCCCGCACATCGCCGCATGCTGGCGCCGAGCACCCCTCCATCCCCGACTCCTCCTCCTCCTCCTCCTCCTCGAGCATCAACAGCCTCCCGCGCTTCCTCCCACGGCAAGGGTCAGCGCCGCGGGAACCCGACCCCTGAACACCGACAATACCCGCAAAAACAAAATCATCGCGTCAGTACCAGCAGATCTCCTCCTCCTCCACCTCCTCCTCTTCTTAGGGTGAAGAACCAATCAACCCGCGGATCTAAGAGCTCCGATGAACCCTAGAATCTATCTCTAACACGCCGACGACGAGCCGGCCGGAGAGTGTGGGAGGGGAGAGAGGGGGAGCTTACCGAATCGGAGCGCGAGTGCGGCATGGCGACGCCGGGGTCGCGTGGTGCCGGGTCGCCGCGCCCCACCGCCGCCGCCGCCGCCGCCGGTGGGTTGGAGTGGTTGCGTTGGTCGGATTGGCGATGAGCCTCTCTCTCTCTCTCTTCTCGGGTTCGCGACTCTTGGATGTATGTGTGTCTTTGATTGGCGTGCGGTTCGCGCTGCATCCACCGTCCATTGCCACCCCAACGGATTCGATCTGGCCTCTAGTAGTAGGAGTTCTATACAAGGCAACAATGGATCTATTTGGAGAGTTTCTGCTAGCTACAGCTTATTCTAAAATCAGAGGCTCTCTTAGATAGTTTAGATTCTAATAATCCATAGTGATAGTATCCATAAAATGAATAGAAACCATAAGTTGAAAAACCCATCTTTTTTATATTTTCAGAAACTAACTACCAACCAGCAGATTATCGTAATATTAAGCTTCCAAGCAAAGCCAAAGTCTGATGAGGCTTCTCTGATTTTGTACAGTTTTGCAGTTGTGCTACTAAGAGCAAGTTTAATACTATCTCTGTCTCATATAATTAATTTTCTATGATTCAAATTTATCCTAAAATAGCTGTCACAGTGAAGTATTAATTATCACATTAATCACTTCTCATTCAAAACTTTCTATGATATATCCTCAACCACCTTTCCACTCTTATCTATACACCATTTAGTGAGGGGCACCATAGTCTTTCTTCCAAAACTTAATATATGCTAAACAAAATTATAATTACTTTGGGACTAAGATAGTAGTAGTATAGTTGGCTACTAGTAGCTCCAAAATGTTTAGAACATTATTTCATAACTTTCTAAGGCCAATCCTAACTCATAAACTTTGAAATAGTTTCCATACTTGCTAAGTCATATAGCACTATGTATGGATAGTGTCATCAAATTAAATTATTATCAATCACCTCTTTTCTCTTTCATTTTTTTACATATTACCTTGTTTTAATTCTTACTTTTTGTGTATAGATGGGTTATTGCATGAGAAATGATTTCTTTATCTATTTACTCCTCTTCTCATTAATTCTCTTACCACATCAGATTTTTACTTATGTAGCAGTGGATTTAATGCTATGGATACTAGCTGAGATGAAGTGTTAAGACTGGCCTAATCTAGCCAAGGGTATGTTTAGTTCACGCTAAAATTGGAAGTTCGATTGAAATTGGAACGATGTGACGGAAAAGTTGGAAGTTTACGTGTGTAGTAGATTTTTGATGTGATGAAAAAGTTGGAAGTTTGAAGAAAAAGTTTGAAACTAAACTCGGCCCAACTCTTGCAATTGGCATGGACGGAAAAAAAATTGAATACGTCTTATTTTAGACCGGAGGGAGCCTATTTATCGGAACAAACAAGAGTAAATAATAAGTAAACATGCTACTTGTTACGTTAAAATATACTCCCTCCAGATTAATAATACTTGTCGTTTTAGACAAGAGCACGGTCTCCAAAGAGTAACTTTGACAAATATGATTGAAGTATTTTTTAAAACTAGTCTACACGTATAGTTTTCATATTCTTAAGATATTATTTTAGGAATTATTTATAGTCAAATATTTTAAAGTTTGACTTTACCCTTGTTTAAAACGACTAATATTATTAACCTGAAGGGAGTAAAAACTTAGTATAAGATTGGATACTGCAGTATCTGAATTTGGGAGAATAAGAATGGGAGTCATTCGAAATGAAGAACTGTGTACTCCCTGCATGCACGCTTTCAGGAGAAAAAGAGTCAAAGATTGAGAGATGAGAAGTCATTCACAGTCTCACAGGTAAATCACTCGCTCTCACTAGTCACTTAGTCAACTCAAAGAGTTACTTATACTTTTACTAACTACAAACTGATGACGCCATCAATCTCTTCCCTCTTCGGCTCAGTGACACTTCACCTTGACCAACACGATCATGGCGCAGCAACAACAAGAAGAAGAAGAAATCTTTCAGGTTTCAGGCCTCCTCCTCGTCGTCACCGTCGTCCATGGACAGCTGCTTCTTGTTCTTGGCCACCTTCTCCACCTTCTTGTGCTCATTGTTCATCCGCTGCTGCTCGGCGGCGTCATGCTGCGCGCTGCACATCTGCAGCTTCATCATCCTCGGCGTCAGCATCCGCTGCACCCGCGCTGCCCACCCGCCGCCGTCCTTGCCACCGGCGACGATGCCACCACCGCCACGGAGGCGGCGGCGGCCGCGGCCGAGCTTGCGGATGTCCTGGCGCATGTCGGAGCACTCCCGCTCGAGCTCCATCAGCCGCAGCCGCATGCTGTCCATGCCGACCCGGAGCGCCTGGTTCTCCCTCACGGCGGCCGTGGCCCAGCACCCGGCCTCGCCGGACGCCGCCACCGCGCCGCCGCCGCGGAGCGTCCTCGACGAGGCCTCCAGGTTGTCGGAGACGAGCAGGCAGCCGGCCACCGACGTCCTCAGCTGCAGCTGCTCGAAGAAGAGCACCTGCACCACCACCCGCAGCGGCAGCCGCTCGTTCTGCGCGGCGTGGGTGCACGCCTCCAGCGACAGCTTCTGGCAGTCGATCAGCCGGCATAGCTGCTCCCGTTCAGCTTCAGGCAGCGTCGGATGCGACTGCCAACAAAAAAAAATGGAAGCAAACAACATCAGCGCCATTGTTGTTCAAGAAATCCAGAATCAAGACAGTGTGGATGACAAACTGACAATTTGTGTGTGTGGCTAGTTTCAGGTGTAAACAAATGCAAATGATGACTTGTCTGAAGAATTTATGTTAGCACTTAGCACATGGCTTTCAGTATGATATGATATGATCAACTGTAATCAAGAACCTCTATCGCGAATTCGGTAATAGTATACACATAGTGATATAGAGTGTCATTTTTTGCCTTTGGAGAAAAGTATCGGATTCAAGAGATATAGCTTTCATTCATATAAAGAGGAGGAAACCATGTAATAGCGTTTTTGACACAAGAATAGCGGGCTCAGAAGGATGCGACTGCCAAAAAAAAAAAAAGAGGAAGCGAACACATCAGCGCCATCGTTGTTCAAGAATCAAGACAGTGAGGATGGCAATTTTCATGTGGGTTTCAGGTATGAAAGAATGGAAACAAGTGCAAATGATGACTTGTCTGAAGAACTCATGTTAGCACTTGGCACATGGCTTTTCGGTATGATGATATGATCAATTGTCAGCTCAAGAACTTCTATCGCGAATTCGATGATAGTATACACAGTGACATAGAGTGTCATTTTGTCACTGGACTACTGGAGAAGTATCAGATTCAGAAACTATAGCTTTCATTCATATGAAGAGGATGAAATCGCGCAATGGCATTTTTTATGCAAGAATAGCGGCTCGAAAGTGTACCTTCAGGTATACATCAATGGCGCGGTAAAGACCGTCATCCAGTGGCCGAGCATATTCAGGTAAAACAGCTGCCAGAGACTGGAATTTCAGTGGCTTTAGGTTGATATCAGGTGCAATCTCTGCAAGGTAGCCATCAATCAGCTTCGCGACAGCGGTGATCGGTGCCAACGAAGGAGATGCCATCACATCATCCAAGCATGGGGAGGCGCCACCGCCACCCATGGTCTGATCCATTGCCAAGAAGTGGTCGAGAATCCTGTGAACGCACTCGACGTTGTAGAGCGTGTCCATGGTGTATGAGAAGTTTGGCAGCAGTAGATCCTCCAATGTGGCTTCGTCCAGCTGCATCCCGACCCTTTTCTCCAAGTTTGAAATGCAAGCGCGGTCGACTTTCAGGATCATGGCGGTCCGGAGCAGCCAGAGCAAAACATTTGTGGATATTAAACCTCTCTGAAGTGGCAACATCCTATCAATCTCTTCAAGCAGGCGCCTCTGTTCTTCATCAGACAGGGTAGCAGCCGGCAGGGGCATTGGTCCGGTGCTTTGACGCCTATTCAACCCTGGGAGAAACTTCTTGGCGTAGTATGTGAGCGAACCCGCAATGATCTCCTGTTTGATGCCTCTTGACTCCATGGAAGAAATAAGCCTCTTGTATGTAGGGAAGCTCAGGGAGGAAGCATCATCATACCACCAGTCCGAACTGCAGTTCCTAACCTTCGCACCCGTGCTTATGCCATTCCACAAGACACTTCCCCCGGGGCTTTGCATGGTACTATGTTCCGAGACTGGCCAGCCGAAGAGGTCCGGATCGATGCTAGCTTTGCCAGCCAATGATTCGATGCATCTCTTCACAATGTGAAGGTCTTCAGCATGAGGGAGAAGGCCATCACATGTCCGAAGCGCTTCCAGGGAATCTTTCCAGCTTCGGAGGACTACTTGGTTAAAGAATGACTCTGTCTGATTAATCAGATTATCCCCAGATGTTTCTTCTGTCATCTCAAGATGTTCAGCAGCGCAGCGTAGGTAGACGACATTTTCTGAAGACAGCTCTATCTTCAGCCCATAACAGAACCTTGCCACTAACTCGAATGATTTTGCGCCACCAGGGATGTCAGACAATATGATGACACATTCATCGCTGTCTGAATTCTCCTCAATCAATCTTCCCAGGATGGCACTCTTTGAAAGCAGGGGGAACTGCAAGCAGATAAAGAACAATTAGAGGAAAGGACAAATTTTCAAATCTCAAGTTCATACCAAGTACAGAGGAAAAAAATCACTTATAAAAGCATTTTTGCCCCTCTTGAGAATCAGCCAGTAACTGTGACTGTAAGAATAACTTTCATCAAAGTTTCTTGAGTAACTGGGGGTGCAAAAAGTAAGTTGTGGTTGTTCATTAAAGCTCATTTCTTCAAAATTCTCCATAATCACAAGCAAAGTTGTACATATTGCTTCATGCATCTACAAATTTACAATGTGTAGCAATTTACCTTGTGAAGGTGGAAAGACATCTCCCCAACCTCAACAAGAACATCGCTGGGAAGCCCTGTTGTGCAGTACCTATGATGATCACAAGAAGAAGACGATTAGTAAAACGAATCATTAATCGTTTACCTCATACAGTCTAAGTTAACCAAGTGAGAAAATGCATTTGCTACAGTGGTGTAAAGATTCTTTTAAGAAACTATAGATTGTTAAAAAAAAAAGGAAAACAGAGTGATTGTGCTAAATATTTTGATACAGATTGCTGATGAATTAATTAAACAAACCAGTACAGCTCCTGCATAAGCCAGTAGATTAGAATCAGAACATTGCTGCAGGCTAACAATAAACTATTCAAACTGAGATACTTGCACTATCTTTTCCCAACAAAAAATGTACAACCATCCAATTGAGATCAGAGTGAGGTATCATGTCACGTGTATATTACTATATTTTTCATGCACCATACCGAAATATGTGCTATCAGCCTACCAGCATACTAGCTTATTGGCTGGCACATGTGAGTATAATGCAACTTGAACCGATAGATTAGTTTGAAAATCCAGAATCTTTGACTAATATGATGCACAAGAGACACAAAGGAACCCTCCCCAAGCATTTTAACACTACATACTCAAAACAGTCAACCTTATCTTCGTTATTGATGGAATAGTTAAATCCTTCTTACATTTAATATTAACCACACAGTTCATCAGTGATTAGTATGTAGGTGCCCCAAAGCTTCCATTATCGAAAAAAAAGTATGTAGGTGAGCATAGGCATGAGTCTTGAGGCATCTGACTTGTGAACAAGATGCGACATAAGTATTGCTCGTAAATTCTGGAGCTTCACAATGTCCTTATGCCTAAAATTTAGCAGTTTATTCACTGAAGCGTCTTTTCTTAAAACAACTAGAGGGTCACATTTGACAAACATTCGCGCAAATGTATCATGTATGGCATCTGTAACTTCCAACACACCTATAAAAACTAATTTTGACAAGCAAATTTCAGTAAGTAGATTTGAATTACTCCAAAGATCTTGAGCTCCTCCCTCATGGACACAATAGGTACTAAAGTGGTAAACCAATGACAGGAAAAATGCACAAAAGTAGAATGGGAAATCCCCATAGCTTTCAAAAGCAACACAAACAAATTGTTTGGCAAGTATCACAATGTGCACATTGAAGCAGCATAAGCTGCTCACTCACACCAGATTAGACACATAAACTAGATCAAGAAACAAGGGGGGAAACAACCTTCCATTTCTATCCTCCCAAATCCCCATAAAAATGTGTTCTTTTTCCTTAATTCACCCCCAACAAACTAACCACAACAAGAAGAAGAAGACAAGACCATCAAATTTACCAATTCTTTATCCGGCCAAGAAGCATCCATACATGACACTAACCCTAAACAAAAACCAAACTGAACCTGTAACAGAGAGAGAGAGAGAGCAAAGAGAAAAACCGTACCATGCTTGCCCTCGCCTTGTGAATGCATCCGGCTTGGAGCTTAGCTTCATGGAACCCATCCTGCAAATGGATCTAGGCTGCCTCTCTCTCTCTCTCTCTCTCCGGAGAGGAGAAGAGGAAGAGCCACCACACACACACACACCAAGAGAGCACACAAGAACAGAGTACACTCCACTTCACTTCACTCCAAAGCTCAGCAATGGCCACCCCCCCTGGCCATCTAATCAATCTCCCCGGAGCAGCCAAGAAGACACCATCATTTCAATGGGGTCCAGAGACAGAAGAGAAGACCAAACTGGTGTGGGGGCTCTCTTGCTGATGAACAACAAAGCCCTAGCTTCCTCTCTGTGAATGAATGAATGAACTCAGTAAAAAAAAAAAAGAAAAAACAAGTTAGTAGAAATCTCCTAAGATTCGGGCTAGCAGCTTAGCTGCATTCTTGGCAGTGTGTTCTTGACTGCAATTTGGAGGGTTGTGACTCAAATGCGGCAGCAATGGAGAAGGCAACAAAACGCAATGAAAAGGGGGGTTTGCTTTGCCAAGAAACCGAAAGCCAGCGACTTGCAAGAAAAAGACTAACTGGGGACAAGAGAGTGACGGCGAGTGGCGACGACGACGAGAGCCTGCAAGATTTGTCCGCATGCAGAGAGGGTGAAGAGAAGAAAAAAAAAAACTGAAAGTGAGAGTGTGGCCGGTTCTTGTAGGGGCTCAAAGCTCAAAAGCTCAAAAAGCTCTGTGTGTGTGTGTGTGTGTTCTGGAAATCTGGGGCCAAGTGCACAGAGATCCTCTCCTACTCCTATCCTCTCTACTAGTCCTATCCTGGTTTTCATTTCTCAGTATTTCACCATGGGAGTGAAATGAAATCATGGAGAGTGGCTGAGCTGAGTGAGAGTGTGGGGGACCTGTGCACTTGTGCAGGAGCAAGGACAGTGCATTACTGCATACAGTACAGTACAGTTCCACAGTATTATTTATGCTTAAATCTGAATCCTGTTCTAGTAGTTAACTTTGCTCATTATGAAAAGGGAGTAATTAGCAGCTTCTTTCTCTTCCCTTAGGAGTTAGGACCTCTTTGGCACAGCTCAATGGAACTAGAGCCCAAATCCAGCTCCATTCAGAGTGAATTGGTTGGAGTTCTCACAAAATACATTAGAGGGGTGAAAATGTGTTTATGCTGCTCCATTTTCACTCCAGACCCAACTTGCTAGAGTTAAATTTGATAAAACCCTACTAAGCATGCTCTTATTTATTGTAGTACTCTATTAGTCCTAAAATATATAAAAAAATGTCTACGAGGTTACATGAGCAAAATCTACTTTGGGAGAGGGAGCACTACTACTCTTGGAGAGAGATTTGGTGAATTGCTGCTGCTGCTGCGACTTGTGAGTACATGGAAGTAGTACAGGGAGTGAAGCCAGCATCTGCCATGGCCACATGGTTGAAGCTTTGGGGTTGCAGACTTGCAGTGTTAGAGGCAGCAAAACGGGACAAAAAATTTCTCAGTTTTCATGAAAAACGTTGACTTCCGGTCAGATTTTGTCAACAATTTAGGGCCCTTTGAATCAAAGGATTTATGTAGAAATTTCATAGGATTTAAATCCTATAGGAAATTTTCCTATTTGGCCTTTTGATTTAAAGGATTGAAACTTTCCAAATCCTATAAAATTCCTATGGAATGGCACATTGCATGTGAATTGTAGAGAAAATGTAGCAAGAGCTCTAACCTCTTGGGAAATTTCCTTTGAGTCTATCTTTCTCATCTTATTCCTACGTTTTTTCTGCGCTCCAATCAAACGACCATTCATGTGTTTTTCCTGTGTTTTGCAATCCTCTGTTTTACACTTCAATTCCTATCAGAATCCTATGTTTTTCATATTCCTCCATTTTTTCTAACCCTGCAATTCAAAGAGGCCTTTTAATTTTAGCTTGGTTTTTTTAAAACCTAACTGGAAAACCAAGGGATGTCCGGTTTTGGTTGGTTTTATAAACCCTATAAACATAGGAGTATACTAGGTCAGAATTATGGAGTACTAGGATGGACACTTGCAGCATCCACCGACAGAAAGACACTTGTTGCAGCAGACCAGTGTTCACATTTTTGCCGCCATGGATGATGATTTCGACAGACCTGCCGAAATTTGTTCATCTTTTTGTACATCCACCATTGATTCCTCTCCCTCCTTTTGGTCAAAGGCATGCGTACCAATCCTAGTACTACTTCTGCACCCAAAAAGTAGGATGCACGGTCCTTTCAACGATTTTGAGTTAAACAGGAGCCAAACAAGATTGAATACATCACGCTGCAGCATTACCATATTATCCATGAGAAAGAGCTTAAAAAAAAAAGCCAGTTGATATACACAATGAAGTGAACCAGTCAACCAGACACACACTGTTACATCTGTACATGCAACAACAACGCAATACTCTGATTATTTGATGCCAAAACCGATTACAAGGTGAATTACAATCACCCAAGGAGGAATGGGGATAACCATGATGTACTTCTACTGGTCACTCCCTGATTATCCCAGCATATGTGGGTTACTACCATGAGCGAGTCAAAAGATGCCGTAGCCGCAATGCCTGTGCAGATCCAGGCGTAACAAAATTGTTGGCAAATTCAGCAGATGCGGTGCAATTCCAGTTTGGGGCTTTGGGCAATTTGGTTCTGTAATAAGCTTGCATAAGTTAAGGATGGAATAGGGTCGTCCCTAGCCCAACTGGAGTAGCAATTGCATTGCATTGGAACGCGGGACAAGTGTACATACAACAAGGTCGGAGGAAACTGATGCTGCACCAGCTCCCACAGGTAGCTTCAAGCTCGAATGATCTGCAAGCGAATGGAGGCATTCAGAATTTGCAGAAAGAAATAAGACAGATAGTCCTACAGTTCTCCACTTCCCCATTCCTAGATAACTTTCTTGATGAGAAGTGTCTACCTGGAATGCTCATAGTCTATGTACATCTATACCTTTCATTAGTATGAAGGACTAACTATTTGTAGAGGGATCTTTAAGGCAGGTATAGACAGTGTACGGTCAAAGTGAATGACTTGTTGAGTTTGAAATATACAAAATGAGGAAGCAAGGAATTTAAAGTGCAAATATGCAAAAGTAAAACGTTTGAACCATTTGAAACTAGAACTGAGGTACTTAGAGCAATTACCAATTTTGCTGAACTTCTGTTTTTAAATGTTGCCATTGCTGCCTCCGCGAAAGCTTGTGCAGCTACAGCATCAGCTTCTGCAGCCTCTGCTTCTCTTACTGCAGCTTCGGCTTCAGCCATGATAGCTTCTGCCTCTGCAACTGCACGAGCAGCAGCAGCAGCAGCCTCTTCTGCAGTCATGGTTCTCATCCGAGCTAATTCAGCATCGATTTGAGATTTAGTGAGGACTGCAACATCTTCCCTATCTAACTTTGTTGGTTCTTTTTTTATATCTTCGAGCAGCACTACTTTGGAGCTTCGCCCTTCTGACAAAGATGAACTAGGGGCTATCCTGTACTTTCGATTCACCTAAAATAGTTGAACATGAGTAATGAGTTGCGTGCCATAATGCTATAAAGTCATGATGTGTGTAATGGTAGTCCTAGGATCCTAGCGCCTAGCTATACGTGTCAATGCTTAAATAATAAAGAAAGATTATCCATCTTGGCCCTTACATGCCAACAAAATCCATAATACTTTTTTCTACAGTTTTCATTTAGAACAAAGCCTGTAAGCCGGGGAATTTGAAGGCGGACAAGACAAGAATTTAAGGATTGAGAATACGCCATGAGACACCAAAAAGGACTAACAACAACTTAACAAGTACAAAAGAATATTTTTCTACAAAATATGGGATGGCATTTTGGATTCAACTGCTGCATCCACAGGTGCAGTAGATATGTTACAACACTGAAAGAATGAATGAAGGAGGAATTGCTGCTAGCCTGCTAGAATGTGTTAGTTGGAGGGCGCATTATATTTTAGTACACAACAAAAGTTTAACATGTCATAGCAATGATAATTGGTAACATTTTACTGAATTTGCTACCGTATCAGAGCACAACATCCTGGTTCACCTCTTTGCATGAAAATTGTATCAGCTGCCATTACTCGAAATGCATAATAAAACATGCCCAAACAGAAGGGATTATAACCTTTATCAATTTCCCAGATGCTGTCAGATCATTCAGTTTTGAAGACAGGACATGATCAAAATCAGCAGGAGGCCAGTATTGCTCCTACAAAGGTTAAGGAGGTCGAACAGCAAATTAGATCAAGTGAAACTCAGCTATATTGAAATAGAACCCACTGGTTTTCATGAGATCATTTCAAGGCTATCATTATCACAGAATCTCATATGCACTTGATGCAAAATACCTGAATATCAATGCATTGTGCTCATCAATTTAAGTCTCCAATTCTACGCAATATAGTACCGTAGAAGAGTGTGTGGATCAACAGGATAACAATAACTGACTTTAGACATGTATACACAAATGAAATGTTGGTTCGGCAGAACGTTGCGCAAAGGATGAAAGGAATTTCCAATGATGGGTTATTATTGGTACCTCACAATCATAATACACAGAAAAACTTATAAGATGAAAACAGACCTCTATGTAATTAGCTATGGCTGTCTTGTATGACCCTGTAGGCTCATTCAAGCTCCTTACTGCCTCTACTATGATATTGTCTAGCCTGCAGGAATGCCACACGAAAGTAAACGAACTGGCTTAACAAAAAGAAGGAAATACCACCATTATCCATACATTAGACTGAGGCCAGTACCAGAGCATTGGGGGCATTTACCTCGAGAGGGATCTCTTGGATGAAGTAGACGTTGCAAGAGGCACAGGCTCCGCAACATCATCATCACCATCTGAAGTTACCGCGGCAATAGCTGTAGAGGTAGAGTGGCCTTCATGCTTAGGAGCGGATCTTGGCTTCTTAACGACGGGCGCTTTCACCCTGTCGCGGGCACCGGACGCGTTCACGGTTACGTTCATGTTCCGCCATTTGTCCTGCAACCAAAACCAATCAATCCATCAGGAACAAGTTACTATAAAACTTCGTTTCCCTGAAGCAACCGGACTCATTCAGCTGTAATAAACCTTGAGGTCAACATTGGAGCGGTAGCGCAGGACGTTGCTGAAGTCTGGGTCTTTGAGTATGGTGCGCCATTTCCCAGCCCCGTGCTTTGCGATCCCGGCCTTGAGGGCGGACTCCTCCTCCGCGGTCCATTTCTGCTTCGGGGCACCCATATTATGCTCAAATCAACACTAAGCTACTTCTTCTTCTTCCAGGGGCGGGTCCAGCTTGGGGAATTTTACGGGGAAACAGACAAACGAACTGTTTGTTACTTCCACAGATCTACAAGAGAAGCTAGGGTTCACGCGAGCAAGCAAATTCGAGACAAAACTACTCGATAGAGAGAGAGATGAATCGGAAACAGATGCGGATCCTCCTCACCAGGATGCAGCAGGATGACGGCGGCGACGGCAAGCTCGGCGAGAGGGGAGGAGGGCGAGAGGAGGGGCTTGGCGGAGCAGCCGCTTCGAGCCCCTCTTCACCCGCAACTCGAGCGGGGGGATGGGGAGGACGGGGAAGGCGACGATGGACGGCGGTGCTGGGCGGGCGGCCTGGGAGGACGGCGGCGGCGGCGGCGGCGCTGGGTGGGCGGGAGTACGACGACGGGTCGACGGCGGCGTTGGGCGGGGAGGGATGGGGAGAGGGTGAGAGAGAGGGGGGGGCGGGACCCACGCCGATGGCCAGCCGTCCTCCGTCCTCCTCATCTTTTCGATTATAATTATCATCCAAATTTAAATTTTTCAACTTTTAAATTTAGAGGTGATTTTGGAAAAAAAATTCACCGTAGTTTATTTTTCAGTCAGTACGTTTATAACGTTAAGAATACGTATATAAAACTTTTATTCATAGAATATTTCATTTGCAAAATTGACATTACGGTTTTTTCTCCAATATACCAAACAGTGGGGGCCATTCTATTGAATATGCTATCTAAACATAGCAATTGAATATGAAGTTCACTTAAAGTTTTAAAACAGCCATATGAAATTCCAATTCTTGGGTTCAAAATGGCTTCGGGCAGACATTGTTTAAGTATTTGATCGAACATTTTAGACTATACAACTTGTTGACGTGAAATTCGTCGTTCACGCGAAGGCCTGGGAGATTCGTGGAGCTCCAATAAAGTTCCTATCAATCGAGCGTGCCCATTAGTTCGATCCTACAACTAACAGCATATAAATAAACTTTTTAGTAACAATCTAAGAGCAAAGTCAATAGCGAAAGTAAGTAGTACGAAATATTGGCTTTAGGGAAGCATGAATGGGTTTAATTGTTGCATGCATATGTGATCAAAACTAGACTCCATCTAAGTGGCCCATCCTGCCTAAGCATGAAAATAATCCGTGCATGGAGCCACACAGTATGCATATGTACAAAAGATCAACTAAACTAAACTAAAATATTTCATCTTGCCTAGTTTACCGTATCATCGTCCGGCACTTGCAGAATCACTTGCTCTGTTATTTCTCATGTTTCCTCCATCCTCCACGTATGACAATACCCATGCAGTGATTCTTGTTGCCGACTGAATCAATATTATTATACATGATCTAATAGATCAACTGTGACAATATATGATTGAAGATAATAGGAAAAACCTATTTAGCCGATAGATCTACACAAACGTGATAGATATATCGGTCAGTCTAAAACAATAATGTGATTTATAGAAATATCACTTAGTCAGGATAGCAAACCTAACCGAGAAAGTCGTAACTAAGCTAATACGACTCTAAACAATGATGCAGTTAAGGACAAAATCTATATATTAGATAGACAACCCATGCATTAACTTGAATAGAATATTGGAATTCACTGATAAAGTTCTAGCCACGCTAATACAAGCGAAGTTAGCGGAACTTAATTCTCGCCGAAGATCGAACTTAACTAATGCAGCGTCGCTCGAAACTATGAACTCTCCGGAATAGATGGTAGCGATGTACCGAAAGTTATGTATTAGTCGAAAGATAGATTACAAATATCCCGGGAAATATATATTTATACCCTCGGGTTGATAAAAGTCCTGATCGGACATGAGAATACTTTAACTGTCATCCTTGTCAGCCTCACCGATTTGCTGTTGCTGAGGCTATTTTCAGCAAAAGCCCATCAATTAGCTTGTTGGGCTGAATAAGCATTAGCCATTGGTAGTGGACACAATCTTTCCGGACACCTTTCTACACCTGATGGAAATGCTTATGCTGATAAGCATCAGGCTGCTTATGCTGATAAGCATCATCAGCATAAGCTAATATATGGATCTACTCCCTCCGTCCCAAAAAGAATCAAACTAGGAGGGGATGCGAGGACCTCTCCTAAGTTGATGTATGTGGACACCCCTATGTCCACATATATTGTCGTAGGTTGATTCTTTTTGGGACGGGGGAGTATACATTATCGAGGTCTTCATGATTCCTCTTTAAATTTAGCTTGATCTAGATAAGCTCTTATCTACCAATCAGCTTATTTTCTTAACCGAATCCACTAGCGAATCGTACCCAATTTTAACGTTTGACACCACTATACCGCAGACACTGACACTAGGAGTCTGGGGCCGATCAGTCCATCAATCAGTCGTCTTCTAGCACCTTCCTTCTTCCCCTTCCAGAAGCTTCCACGCCCAGACGAACAGTCAACACCCACACCGCCACTGACAACCGGGCCCCACCACACACCCGGCCCCACATGTCATCCACCCATCCACCCACCTTCTTACCGTAGCCCGCCCCTCGCGGCGTATAAACCCCGACCCCTCCAAACCCTAGCCTCCCCCCCTCTTTATGCTCTTCCTCCCGCGCCAACTCGCCCTCTCCGCCGCCGCCGCCGCCGCCGCCATGGCCAAGGAGGAGTCGAGGAAGGAGAAGAAGGCCAAGACCAAGGCGGCGTCCTCCGCCGCCGCCGTCCCCGACGCGAGGAGGGCCGCCGTGGTGGCCGCGGTCGCCGCCTTCCTCGAGTCCAGCGGCTTCCCCCGCGCGCTCGCCGCGCTCCAGTCCGAGGCCAACCTCGAGGTAACGGCCCCGCAATTGGCTCGTGATGTGCTTGTCATTTCGGATTTTCGGTTGTGTTGGAGTGGGTGAATGAGGATTTTTGCGCGTTCGCAGGCGGGTTCTTGGCGGTCGTCGCCGGTGAGCCTGGAAGAGTTGGTTTCCGGATTCTTGGAGGACTCGAGGTACTCCTACTTAGAATCAACGGCACGATGCTCAAATCTCGTGTTAAGAACTTAAGATAGATTTCGTAGGTGATCCATATCCCTGTGCCATGATTGGTTTCTTATTGGAATTTGGTTGTGGAATGCAGCAATTATGCTCCAGGAGCCAGCATCAATGGGAGTATCGAGCACGGTTAGCGTCGATGTTCATTATTACGTCGCGTAATGATTTGGCGTAGGCTCGCGTAATTGGCGCTGATTTGAAGCTTAATCGTGTGCAGAGAAAACAGCCGCCGTTGTCGCGGAAGATGCTGGCAAGAAGAAGAAAAAGAAAGGCAGTGACACGAAAGTGAGTGAAGCTGAGAACAAGGTGGCTGAGCCTTCTGCCGTGGAAAAGCCCAGTGAAAATGCGGATGTCGAGACCAAAGAAAAGAAACAGAAGAAGAAAAGCAAGAAACAAGAAAACGACGAGGATGTCGAAGCTAGGCTGGAAAAGGCAGAATCGGCTATCATTAACAAATTTGAGACCGTGGACACATTGAAGGAGGATAGCAAGAATGGTTTGGTTGATGTTGCTCCTGTGGAGAAAGGGAAGAAAAAGAAGAAAGGAAAATCAACTCCTGAGACATCAGATAAGGTTGACACAGGAAGTACAGATGCTGGGGCTGATTGTGCCAAGGGAAAGGGTGATGCTGCAGAGATGGAGAAAGACAACAATGAAAAGAAAAGTAAAAAGAAGCTGAAGAAGTCCAAGGAAAACGTTGAGGTGGTTGAAAACAAAGAAGTTGCAGGGAAAGATTCAGCTCCTAAATCAAATGATGAGAACAATAGTGGAATGGAGACTGAGAAGGGGGAAAATGGAATGCCTCCAAGTGATAATGCGGTAGTTGGCAAAAAGCGGAAACTAGAAGAAGTCGAAGGAAGCAACCTCCCTGCTAAAGAAGATAACACAGCTAGCCAGAAGCTCAGCAATGGTTCTTCAGAGGATGATGGTGCCAAACCGAATAAAAGGCAGAAAAAATCATCTGAAGTATGTTATAGTCTGTTTCTTTCGTTGCCTTGTGTTATTTCCTACTTTAGTGCAATTTGTTCCTGTTATGTTTATGAACCACAAAGCCTGTCATCTAGAAATTTTAGGCAAACTATGACATGATCAGTAAGTATATGTTTTGTGTTAGTCATGGATCAACTTCTTTCTTTTCTGACATTTACTAGTATTTCAGAATAACCAAATAATGTTGTATCGGACAGTGGATATTTGTAGTTAGTTTGTTACTATCATTGCGATGGTGATTTCCTCATACGTTCTGGTGATGCCCTGACATTAAGGTGGTTTATCATTTCCATGTCTTGTATATTGACTAACAATAACATCATTTTGATCTTACTATTTAGCATTCACTTCTGATAATAGTTTTATAGATGTCTCGGTTATGGATATCTTTGATGTCTGGGAAATGCTTGTAATCTGATTGTCCATGCCATCTCTGTCCACTGCAGCCCAAAACTGTGAATGCATTTCAACGGGTGAAACTAGAGGATGTTAAATTTGCTGATGATAGGCTTCAGGATAACTCATATTGGGCTAAGGTAATGTACATTTCTTTTGCGTTGCACTGACCATATCTATACTCCTATAAAAGACACCAATGGTGGTGGTGGCACCTACCCACTGTTATATGGGCCCACATACAGTCAATGGTCTTATAATAAAGGACAAAATAAAGAAAAATTTGTTTGGACTAGCTGGTAAAAAGATGTTCTTTGATCTTTGTCCATTCTTCATTAGGAGCAACAGTCGTATCTGCACAACTTTATTAGATTAACGTTTGATTTTTAAGAAAAATTACTTAGATATTTTACATGTCCTTTTCGTATTTATGTAAATATAGCTAGGCTATGAAAGTAAAAAAAATCCATAAGAAAAATTAATATCACCTTAGATTATGATCATGATTAGAAATCATTTTGTACATGATGCCAGCTAACCAATAGAATTTGATTGATGCAAGTATAGTCTCGGGAGTAGACAATGGGGAATGATTTTAGAAAGATGTTCTCTTTTAGAACTCTGTTACAACACACGTCACACGGGCATTTAGCTAGTAATATGTAGAAATTTCAACTGTTCTTGACAATAACCGAGTGGTGAACCTATCTTATGACAGGGTGGTGCAGACTCTGGGTATGGTGCAAAGGCACAAGAGGTTCTTGGGCAAGTTAGAGGAAGGTTAGATGCTCTTCTTTCCTTCTGACCTTCATACTCCTTGCTAATCGAGTCATTTGTTCTTTCCCACTTGTGATCATCTTAGTGCCGAACATAATTTCATCATTGTTCAATTTTGCCTTTGCAGGGGCTTTAGACATGAGAAGACCAAGAAGAAGCGTGGAACCTACAGGGGTGGGCAGATCGATTTACAAACCCACTCAATCAAGTTCAACGATTCAGATGACGAGTGATCGCTTCAATTTTGCGAGTCGCTCACAGTTTACCATTCTTGCCATCGTTTACATGATGATCAGCCTTCAGAAAGAATGAACTGGAGGGAATGCTGCGTGTGTGGCGAATTCAGGAGGAACATGAAATTGCTTTATTATGCCCATTTTGTTAGTGCTGGGTGCCCTGCTAAATCATCAAAATTTTGTATTGATACTCACTGAGATGTATCATTTTGCCACTGCTAATACAAAGTGCAAGAGTATTAGTACATCACATCTTACTTTTTTTTGGGCTTGCTGTTGTGCCTCCAGCTGATAAATATGTCAGCACTAGGCTTCTCCCTTGTTTACTGCTGATACAGTGTGCTCTTCCTTTTGGCCTGTTGCATTGAAAGAATGCATATAGCATGTGTACATAGTACATTGTGATTATATACATACTGGGCTGGGCCAGATTGCTCTCTGCATTTCCAAAGTACATGTCCTATGACTGTGTTTTTCTTGGGCTTTACAGGTGCCCAGTTTGCACAAGGATAGAAGAAGTTCTCAAGGAGCAGCAGGTGCTGCTTTGTGGAGTGCCTTCTGTGACTGCCATCATGATTCATGACCACAGCAACACTTCATGATGATGATGAACAAGATGATGATAGCACCATCATTTTTGAGTGGATGCTCACTCCTTTGAACTTGGTCCATTCAAAATGCAGTCAAAAACATGGACTGATTCCAGTCTGCTACAGGCTACAGCTGCTGCTCCTCCTTCCAACTTTCTTCATGCCTTTGAAGTGGTAGTCAAGATCCTCACAGACCAAAACCAGGCCAGGAGATGTGCCACTGCAGTAACCTAGTAAAGCCTAGGAGTACTATATAACCTAGACAGGTCACTTCCAAGTGATGTGTGTGTATTGTGTATTGACATGTTGCATGCACTGTAGCCATACCTGACCCTTGGAAGAATTGCCTTTCTGGCTGGCTACCTGCATCCATCCATGTTGATGCATGCAATGCATATGTTTGTCTTCTGTGTATTTTCGTTCACAAATCACAATGCAGGGGAGGATTTCCTTTTGTTTCGTCAGAGTTTCAGGTTACAGTAGCAGCAGATAATCAACAGGAAGAAAGCATTTGCTTTGTGAAGCATGCATGCAGACTGCAGAGAGGCAGAGGGCTGATGATCATGTCAAAACATGAAAGGAGCGAGACCAGCAGCATCTACAGTGCTTGCTCTGGCTTAGCTGCATCTTGGTCCGTGAGTGCTCCTCGTCTCCTTTCAACTGTCCGAAATCTCCTTTGGTTTTGGCGATGACAATGGCTCATATAGATGGCCACTCTTGGCTGTCAAACTCTGAACATACTATGACAATGACTCAAATCTCCTTTGATTCTCTCTGTAGCACAAACAACCAAGTTTAAGGTAATTGCAGGACCACTTGGTAGTAGTACAAATCAATGAACCCAGGAGCAGTAGTAAAAATCAATAGTTCTCATCTTTTCGTTTATGCTTATGTTTATCAACCAAAATTTAAAATTTCAAATTAAAATTTGAAGCTAATTTTGGGGTTTTTTCGTCAATTTATTTTCCACACTTTGCTTTTAGGTCGCTAAGAACACGTATATAAAAGTTTTATTTACAAATTATTTTTCGTTTGCAAATATACCATTTGGCTTATTCCATAAATAAGCCAAACGAAACGAAGGGGCTGTGCTCCACTGCTTGCATCCATAGCCATGAGTGCACAAACATAACTTTCATTCAAATTCAGGAGGAAGGTATTTTTTTGCAAGAACAAAAAGAAATGGTGATTTGATCATGCTGCTGCCTTGTACTGCCTCACATCACAATAACTGCCACAGTACAATGAGGATGAGCCACCTGCTGCTGCTCTTGCTACCAGTAGATTGGGGTTTCCAAAATGTACAATGAAAGGTGTAGACTTTTGCAGGATCTTTTCCCTTGGATTGCAAGCAAACCAAAACCCTAGCCAGTGGTAGTAGTAGTAGCAGTACTTGCTGGCCAGTGGTGACCCTAGGCATTTTTCTTTCTCATGTGTGATGACTGGTGATAGTACACAAATGATGCATGCTCCCATTGAAAACAACTTTGTGACCCAAAAGACATGATCACATCTAGTACTATCATTTGTTAGTGTAAAAGGACACCCTTCACATATTAGGGCATGGCACAATTGAAATGATTAACATTCTTAAAAGCATAGCATCCTATATACAAGATCTTTTATAATGATCTATGTATATTCCCCTATAGTGCCATAGTTCCATAGCAGAAGAATCAATTCATGGCACCATTTGGACTTTTGGAGTAGCACTACACAAGAATACAACATTACTATAGTATGTATAGGATAATAGGAGTATCCTCTTATTAATTTTAATTTAAGTATGCAAGTTGCCGCCATCTCTTTTGAAGAAAATTTGCCGCCAAAAAATTTATGCCACAAGACAAACTGGATTCTCCTTGGCACATCAACTGTTGAAGCTAATTACCCTGGCTGAGTTAGACAAGCACATAATTTAGATGTATATTTGCATAAGTGTGACATCAAGCATTGGATAATGTGGCCTCAAAAACCTAAACCAGAACGGTCAGATTAAATTACATGCTGGTGGAACTAACTAGAAACATCAAGACAAGAAATCACCTAAAAAAGGGTAATTAACAAAAAATGGTTTGGTGGACTGATGCTGTGCTTGAGGAACATGAGCTGACGGCATTGCCAAACCCTAGAAGGAAAAAGGGTTTAAGGGGCAGCTGATGGTGTGGCTTTGTGTCCTCTAAGGAGGAGCAAGCTAAACAATTAGGAAATTAAGCAGGGTTATGTCCTTTCTTTTGTTGTGGTGTGCTCCTCCTCTTGTTGGGTTTTGGGCTTTGGAGTCTTCTCTCCCTCCCCTTTCTTTGTGGCTTTATCTTTGGGTGTACATGGGGTCTAGTGTTGGATAGGGCCATAGGGGTTGGGTGAAGAGAATTTTTGAAAAATCATTAAACAACTCAGATGTTCTTCGCTTCCTTCTTGCAATGGGCATTTTGAGAGTAGGAAATTTCACTTCTTTCAAAACACAAAGTCAAGGACTTTTGTAAGCTAAAGCATTGTACCATCATGGACTCTGGTTATGTGAAAGCGAGAAAGGCGTAAACGATACCACGCTGAAGAATTATCCAAAATAAATTGTGCTGTGTGGGAGAAGATTAGAAAAGCCTCCATCCTAATTTCACATAACATTTCTCATCACACATTAAAAAAAATTGAAAATAACGAGACTAGAGAAACTTTGGACATGTAATAAAGGATACATGTAATAAAGGATTTGTGTTTGACCTTGGTAAATTTTACAAAACTACATATACTTTGATCAAACTATTATAGAACTACATATTTAAGATGTTTTTATCATAAAACTAAAAATTTAATAATAATTTTATCATGAAACTACATATTTAGAATAGAGTTTTATAAAACTATAGATTAAGTAGCAAATTTATCATAAAACTATAGGTTTACTGCTAATTTAATCATAAAACTACATCACATTGTCCTTTGCAAAATAAAAGTGAGGGGAAATTATTTTTTTTCATGCACAAATGTGTAAAATATTGTACTCCAATCAACAGTGTAGTCCTAGAGAACTTTTGAACCAGTTGGGCACAATACAGAAAGGGAGAAAAAGTGTTCAACTACACGTAGCTACTTGCCATAGGCCACTCTGGAATTCACACTGATACTTCTACCAGTACTAGCATATGTAGAGGTAAAAATTTGGTACTAGTGCTCATGCATTCATGTGATGTGGTTTCGTGTGAGGTGAGCTCATCAGCTCATTCAGTTCTCGGGAAGAACAACGAGCAAACAACACACTCGTTTGCCTCTCCTCTCAGAGCAAAGCTTTAAATCTGAATGAAATTCGTAGAATTTTTTTTTTGTTAAAGGCCAAGTTTAGTTTCAAAGTTTTTATTCAAACTTCCAACTTTTCCATCACATCAAAACTTTTCTACACACACAAACTTCCAACTTTTCCGTCACATCATTTCAATTTCAACCAAGCTTTCAATTTTGACGTGAAATAAACACACCCAAAACCAAGAAATTTTGTAATAACATTAAGGACTTGTTCGGTTAGTCCCTTCTCAAATACTACTAAGATTGAATAGGATTTAGAGAGGATAATTAATCCCTTTCAATCTTTTGCATATAGGGATTAACCGAATAAGCCATAACAAAGTTTTTATTATGTTTTAACGGTAAAATTTATCAAAGCCCTGTTTTTGATTAAGATACAATTTTTAGTTTGGTTTCTGTTAGCACGTTTTTTTAAACTGTTAAACGGTGTATTTCATATGAATTTTTTTTATAGAAGTTGCTTTAAAATATCATATAAGTCCATTTTCAAGTTTAAAAATAATTAAAACACCATTAATCATATGCTAATGGTTTTTTCATCTTCATTAAATTCGAATGGGTCGAAACTGTTTAATTTGTTACTAAGTACTACTCCATCCATCTACTTTTTGATAGTCATATTTCATCTTGGCACACAGACCAAGGATAAGTAATTCTACTTATCATCCATTTAAACATGCTACTAGTCATTCATCGTAAACAAGCGATTCATTAATATTTACATTTCTCAATGTCCATGTAGCCAATCATGTGTGTAAGAATGGAGAGTCATGCATTAAATCCGAGAAAGTCATTAAGATGATAGGTTGTTGGATTAAAATATGCCTATCAAAAATAAATTTTTCAGATTTGGAAATATGACTTTCAAAAATAGATGAAAGGAGTATTTTTGTAGCGGTTATACGAGAGATGCACACCATTATTACACATGCACACACCACAATTACATGCTCGTGAATACGCCTCCTAACACACACTCTAACCTTGATTAGAAAACTTTGATGATGTTTTGTCATGTCTGAATGAAAACAACAAACAAATAGACAATGCCCTGGAAAATTTCATACTTGTACTGCATTAATTTACTTAATTTAGGAGATGCACTTAATAATATATTAACAAGGAGGGTTTAGTTTTAATCCTGAGATCATGTGTTTAATTCGCAGGATATTCACAACTTCTTCTTAAAATTTTTTTAAAGTATCTCTTCCTCCAAATCTCGTTTATTTAAAGTTGAATTTAGCTCGGATACGTCCCGAAATTTTCGCGCGCTCGCTGTAGAATGCCTTAGCCGAGCCGTTGGGCCCCACCTGCCAGTCGGAGCGATGATATCTCCGCCGTCCGATCAGGCGATCACGCGTGGATCGGACGGCTCGTGGAGCAGCAAGAGGAGCCACACCGATGAGCGCGCCGGCGAGTGGTCCTCCACACGGATTCCACACACGCACGCCCACCCGCACGCACGCTTGCTCGCTCTCTGAATTTCTCTCTCTGTCTTTCTGAATACTAGTATTTCTATCTCTCTCTGAATTTTTCTCTCTTCAGAGTTGCAAGTGCACCAATGCTACAATGCTACGTGTCTCCTTCCTCTAGTATTTATCGTCTTCCCCATCAGAGCCAAAGCAAAGCACAACACTCGCAGCCATTCTGCTTTGCTTTGCTGCTTCTTCCTCCTCCCTCCCTGCTTCTTTGCTTTCTTGCTAATTTGCAGGTAACTAGAGGTAGTACAGTTTAGCAAGCTCAAAGCTGAGAGAGAGAGAGGGGTTATAATCTGTCATGGAGTACGAGAGGATACACAAAGTTCAGGTAACAAACTCACTATCCGAGTATTCCATTACAGTAGTAGTCGTGGTGGTGGTAGTTCATTCCTCCATATGCTTGTTTCTTAGCTACAATTTCAACCTTAGTTTGTTTAGGTTGTGTTTGGTTTGTAGAATTAAGTTCATGCTCATGTCTGTAGGTATGTCATTTTCATTTTTCATGTATCATCCAATATCCATGTACTACTATGCTTGATCCATCTCTCTTTTTTAACCCCTTCTTGAAGCTAAGTACTGCTATAATGCAATGTGACTACTCCCCTTTCTCATCTATCATGAACATTTTTGGTGGGTCAAGATAGTAGTGGCATAGTGCCACTAATTACTTTACTTTCCAATATTGAACTCTCTAGCCATGTCCATTTATGGTGCTTTTGATTTATTATTGCTACTACCACAACAGGGTTCCTATACATCTCTCTCTCTCTCTCTCTCTCTCTCTCTCTCTCTCTTGGACTTTTTGGTTGTGGATTCTACCTTGCTCTCTCAAGCTCAAAGTAGCCAACATTCATGGCTGCTCTATTCAAAGCTGTGGCTGCTCTCCAATGGCAACTGCAGTATGAGCAGTTAAAAATCTCTCTCTTCTTTGCAGCAGGAAGCCAGAGTCAATTCTTGTAGTAAATTTTTTGCCCCAATTTACCAAGCCATTAATTAAACTAGTACTACTCCTGAATCTTGGATACTAGTAATGACAGTTTGAAATTTGTCCTGAATCTTGGGTGATTGATTTTCATTGGAAACCATCAAATTGGTTAAGGTTTACTATGTATTTAGTGATAATTTTGTTGCAATGCAGATGGGAGTGATGTCTCCAACCAAGCTGAGGATGAAGCTGCTGGGATCCCATGGCGGCAGCATCGGCAGGGTTGACGAGGCAAAGAAGTCGCCGCGAGCGTCGCCGGCGAGGCTCGACGCCGACGAGGACGACGACGACCACCCCAAGAACAGCCTCCTGCCCCAAGAACTCGACGAAGGTTCGCTTCCTCTTCGATTCCATTGTGGAGCTTGCAATGGCAATGGTGATGTGTGTTTGATTCCGGTGATTTCTTCGTCAGATTATCCCAAGGACCAGTCGGATTCTTCTCGCTCGCGCTCCGACGCGAGCCATGGGAGAGCTGGCAATGGCTACGACAGCGGCGGCTTCGAGTTCTACAGGGAGGAGAGGCCGCCGCCACCGCCGCCGGCGGCGGTGGCGGTGGTCGGCGGGACGTTCTTCAGGCAGGTGCCGTCAAAGTGGAACGACGCCGAGAAGTGGCTCGCCGGGAGACACGTCGTGCACTCCAACCCAATCTTCTCCAAGAAGGCCGCCGCCGCAGCAGCGGCCGTGTCCGGCCGCGTTGCGCCGGAGGCCTCGGCGTCGTCGTCGCCGCCGTCGGTGGCGAGCAGGCAGCGCCAGCAGAAGAGGCTCCGCGTGTCGTCGGAGGCGGCGGCGGTGTCGATGCGGGACGTGGGGACGGAGATGACGCCGATGGCGAGCAAGGAGCAGTCGCGGAGCGGCACGCCCGCCGGCGCCGCCACGCCGTCGCTGAGTCCGCTCTGCTCGGTGCCGACGAGCCCGAGGGGCGCCGCGTCCGCGTCGTCGGCGTCGTCGGAGCGGGAGCTCCAGATCAGGACGCGCCGCGAGATCGCCGCGCTCGGGCTGCAGCTGGGCAAGATGAACATCGCGTCGTGGGCCAGCAAGGACGACGACGACGAGCTCCCCCGCGCCTCGCCGGAGAAGAGACCGAGACCGAGACCGAGACCTCACTCCGGCGACGGCGGCGGCGAGGCCAAGAAGAGGGAGTTCGAGGCGCGCGCCATGGCGTGGCAGGAGACGCACAAGTGCAAGCTCGCGTTGAGGTGCAGCAAATATCACTCTCTTTTTCTTTTTTTGGTTCTCTGAACTTTTGTTTTTTTGTTGTTTTTTTGGTCTGGAATTTGATTATTGAATCGAAAATTTGGACGAGAATTCGTCAGGTTTCAGAGGAAGGAGGTGAAGATTCAGGAATGGGAGAGCTGCCAGAAGGCCAAATTCGAAGCCAAGATGAGGCACGCAGAGGTAAACTTACATCGAATTCAAAAACTTAAACCTTTATTATTGGGCGTTCTAATCAGCTATGAGAATACAGATTATTCGTGCCATGCTTCTAAAAGTATGGTTTTTCATAAATTAAAAATAAAAACTTTCTATACATGCTTAGATATCTTTTCTAAGCTATTTTTAGCCCTATAATATAGTAATCCCTCCGGGCTGATAATATTAGTCGTTTTGGACAAGGGTAAAGTCAAACTTTAAAATCTTTGACTACAAATAATTTCTAAAATATTTATCTTAAAAATATAAAAACCATATGTGTAGATTCGCCTTAAAATATACTTCAATAAAACCATATATTTTTTGGTATTTTCATATATATTATAATAGAAAATAGTTGTTAAAGTTACTTTTGGGAAACCGTACCTTTGTCCAAAACGACAAGTATTATCAACCCGGAGGGAGTATGCATAATGTTTATTCATCCCTCAAGCAATTATGGCTAATTTGTTGAATCATTAGTTAGAAGTATGGCTAAACCCAAACCTATATATAAACTTAGACCGTCTGTTCAAATTCATTATACTAGAATGTGTTACATCCACCCATTATCCCTTATATTATGGAACTGAGGGACGACAAGTTTAGGTTTGCCCGTGTACTTCTGATTTGATGTAGAGGCTGGGTTTTATAAATCTATTATCTAAAAACCAAGTTTGGATAGAATTCTTTAGAGAATGAATGAATGATACAGATGCCTGTATGTTATCATCAGGTGCAGGCAGAGCAGATGAAGGCGAGGGCGAAGCAGAAGCTGAGCAGGAGGCTGTCGGCGTTGAGCCACAAGGCGGAGGGGAAGCAGGCGAGGGTGGAGGCTCGCCGGAGCCGGCAGGCGGCGCGGCTGGCCCGCCAGGTGCACCGCATCCGGGAGACCGGCGCCGCGCCGTCGCGCCTCCGCCGCTGCTGCAGCTGGCTGTTCCTCTGAACATCTGAAGAAAAACAAAAAAGAAAGAAAGAATTCTCAAGATGGATCATGATCATGATCATCATGCTGTCACTCAAAATGCCATGGGAGCTCTGTATATGAAATGGAACTAAGCTGCAATGGTTTGTTTGGAGCAAATGTGCTGTAGACTAGAATTGTTGATGTTTAGCTGCTGCTTGCCTTGTGTGATCTGAATTTGGGTCTGGTAGTATTTGACATTGATCACCTGGATTTGCAGCAACCTTGCTCTGCTGACTTGAAAATCCTACTTGTCTTTTTAACTGATGAACATTTCAAGAGAGGAGAGATTTTTAGTCAGTTGCATTGTTACGAAAAGAACAAAGCTTCAGGCCCCCTTTTTATGCTTGGCTGGCACAGGAAAGCCTCCAAGAAACCCAAAAGGAAAATTTTAGACCATTCTGTTAAAAACAGGCATAATTATGTCTTAAAGTTCATGGCATGGTGAAATCTTTGAATAAGTATGTAATAAGTAGGGAGTCCAACAGTATTAATGTCACCACATGGAGCTACTAGGATTCCTCTAAAAGTTCCTCCTATCAACTATATAGACCACACTTTGGAAATTTGCAGCATGGAATCATGATTTTGTCCAGCAAAATTGATCCTGCGTGAATCATGCACAATGGCATATAAGTAGGCAGGCAGGTCAGAGCCTACAAACCAGGACAAAATGTTGACTCAGTAGCATGAAACAAGATCATCTAGCCACAATTTATGGCAAAAACATGAAGAAGGCGACAAATGATTGATTTTAATATGTTCCGGGCTCCATTTGGAAATTGGAATCATCAGTTCTAGACATCATATTATAGCTACAGAATAAGGTCAATTCTACAGCGACTGCCATCATTCATCATAGAACTGTTCTTGCCTAGTTGCCTGCCATTAGAGATTTAATAGAGCTAAAGCAGCTATCATACAGCATGTCCATGATCAGATGGAATACAACGGATCATCTAGCTATATTATTGACTGAGTTGCTACTGATTCGGACAGGACTAGTGAAGATCGCATGGAATGCAGGCGATCACGAATGGTGACCCTGCAGTCTTAAGGGTGCTTAGTTTGGATTCTGGTCTACATCTCAGTAGTCCAGAGGCGCTACAGATGCAATGTTTCCGGCGATATTCTGCATGTTGTGGCTTGCAGAATAGTCGTCGCAGGCATTGCTCTGCTGCATCCTTGCTCCAGGTGAGGACAGAAGGCCGTCTCCACCACGAACCAACTGCTGCACCTCCTGTGGCGAGAGTATTTTGATGCACCATACGCTATTTGCAAACTCCCTGAAAAAAAAAGATGGCATAGAATATCATGTTTGTTTGCTTTGAACATTGACAAATATTGTGTTTGCATACGAAACATTTTAGGTTTGTAAGTGCTTACTGCCATGGATCGTCGCCGACGAGAAGAATGTCATTTTCCCGGTCGACAAATACAAGCTGCCAGCCTGATCTTACAGGGTCCTCCAGTTGGCCTTCAAGACCAAAGAGACGCTCAAGCTCACTACGTAACTCGCAGTAGCTGCTGAATCTGGAGATGTCAAGTGATCTCCCAAGGGACCCTGATTTGTAAACCTATTGAAGAAAATGCAGAAGATATTAGCCAGATCATATAGAATAAATGAGCAGCTCACACTCACAGACATGTTAAGTAGGGTAGTAAAAAGAAGAGAAACAGGCATTTCCAAACTTCATACAAAACTTTAAAAAATAATTGCCTCCTTTGCTACCATCAACCTACTAAAATGTTTGTTATTTATCTACTAAGTAAAGTACTTTTAGCGACCAATGTTCGCAATCAGTGAAAATTGAAAAAAGAAATGCAGAGAGAAGAATTAACGCAAGCTAACACACAAGTTGAAAATGCATACCTTCACAAAGGTTGCTCCTTGTGATGGATTTACAGATATGTTATTAAGAGGATTGAACGTTCCAGATTCACCTAAACAATTGGAGGTTGCTAAGGTGTTTTCAGTTGTCAAATCTGCACCACTATATCTCAACAAAGGTATGGCCATAGTATCAGTTTCTCTGTTAGCATCAGTTATGATGCTTGTCATGCCATCCTGGAGTTCAAATGATGATGAAAGTAGGCGGTTCTCAGCATCTGCCCTGCAATCCTGGACGATGGAACAGCCTCTTGCTGATTGTGGTGGAAAGGCGCCAGGAAAATGAGATATACCCTGGTGATTTACTTTCTCAATCTTGGGGTGCATGGACGGAGCTTCAGGATGAACAGCAGATTCTAAAGTTAATCGCTTTGAAGGCCACCCATCTGATGCCATTAATTGGCTACTTCGAGGCAAAATAAGAAGGTTTGAGGCTTCCTGGTTAGAGAAGTTGTGGAAATTGTTGTGTAGATGTAAAGGGGGATCACTATTTCCTTCTAAGAGGTTCTGATTGTAGAATGATGATCCACTAAGCAATGATGATTGTGCCTGAGGAGCAGATCCAGACTCAGAAGCTACATCAGCAACATGATGATCACTAGATGGGAGCTGCTGTTGCATCTCTTGACTAGATTGCTCTTGTAAAACATGCTGTCTTTGCTGCTGCTGCAACTCTTGCTCCTTTAGCAGCTGCTGAGTGTTATGCAACTGCAGCCGTGGAAGCTGACCTTGAAGGAACCCAGAGTCACCAGTGTTCTGACAATGGCCTTGCTGAACAACTTGCAGGGGTGACTGCTGAGGTTGAAACTGCACCTGCCCTAGAACATGGCTTGCAAACAGAGAATTTAATCCACTGTTCAGATTATGAGTCTGTTGGTATTGCAGAGTAGCTGGATGCTGCTTTGAAGGGTCCCCATATCGAATTTCTTCCAGTGCTGCTGCAGCCATTTGCTGGTACGTGTCTGGCTTAAGGCCCAGCAATGGAGAATCTATTCTTGGCTGAAGCCATGGTGAGACTCCATGTCCTTGAAAATTCAGGGACTGGGTTCCTCTATTTCCGTCTCGAAGCCACATGAGAGAAGAATAGCGTGCAAAATCGTCATTTCCCCCACCTGCAGAAAAAGAAGTGGTTAAAGAGTATGCTCTTAGAATTATGCGTGCTAGTGTTCCGGCCATCAATCAGCATACCATTGAACATGCCATGCATAGGCAGTCCTGAAGCCCACGGACGCTTAAGTCTTAAAGGAAAAGCACTGGGGTACATCGGAAAGGTTGTCAAAGGCTCAATCTCCCAAAGAGAAACCCTTGGCTGTTTATCACCAGTGGTGGACTCATCCCAACCAACCTAATGTGCCATAAATCCAAAATGAAAAAAAAATCACAAGGAAAACATATCCACAGAAAGGGATCCATGAGGGATGTGATAACAGATTTGACAGACTACTAGATAATGGAACAAGATAACATCATTTCTGTAGAGACCACAAAATATATTTAGCAGATATTACCTTAACAGAACGCCAGTGTGAGTTTGGCCAGCGCACTGAATCTAGATCACTTATGCTGGTGATTGTACCCATGTATCTGAAAGTAAGAGGTAAATATAAGAATTAATGGAGCTTTCACGGTTCATGCTGTGTGCTTAATATCAGCTTACCGCCTGACACTTGACTCCTCTGTCTCGAAAAGCATTCTAAAACGCATTCCAACAGATACACGTGTGTGGTAAACAGCTTTCACATACTTGGCCAATGGAATCACAAATTCAGAAGGGCTAGCCCTGAAAAAGGATGCCCATGTCAATTAAATATGGAAATAAAATAAAACGTTAAAGGCTCTGCTGTAAGATTGCAGTACATTTACCTGGGGTTATAGAAAATAGTGAAGCGACTATTTGTGGCTGCAGCATGAGCTGCTGCTGCAAGAAGACCTATATGCATGCTATCGCTTGACAACACGGAAGAGGGCATAACAGTCTGTTGGCGATTTGCACGACGTATTCCCAAAAGAAGTTGATTGTTATCATTCCTGGTAAAAATGATAAAGGTAATTAAGTCTCAGCAATGAGTACAACCTCTAGCAACAGTATACAATTTAAATAAGGAATAAAGTGGGTGGTACCAGATAAATATAACAGAGTCTCCTGCTACTAGTCTTTTCGCACTCACAAACACACTCCAGCCTGTTGTCAGGAGATGCCTTTTAGGCTGACCTGCACGACAAATGCATAGCCAATTGAAAGTTCAATAGAAGAAGATACCCTCACAATATAATTTCATAATTCAACAATTCTGCAAGGCAGGAACAGAAGGAGGCTAGTTGCAGTATTGTCATTATAGCATGTCCAGGTAATTTCTTAGCCAGATAAAAATGCAAAAACAGATCTTGGCAACAAAGAAAAAAGAGCAAAACGGATAGATGTCATGTCTAATGGAAATGCTATCTAAAAGGCATAGTACATGATTTTATGTCAATTTTTTTGTGTACACAAACAACTCATAATCAGTTCTATGTGTGTCGGCCATAGTTACATACCACGAAATATATGGCGAAATTTCCATTCATTATCATGCAAATCTCTTGCAATCAGCTCCTGTGCCGGAGGCTGCTGTGAAAAATCCTACAGAGAACTAAAGGAGTCAATTTGAAGAACACATAGCAAATGAACATTTCCTACCAAAAAAAAGACTGAGCTTAAAGGCATACTAGTGGAGGGAAGACTTTCTCAGCTGCCCGGCGGGGAACAGAGAAACCACCATGAGTGCTCGTGTCACTTGCAGTCAATGTCTTGCAGAAGTAATTAGTGGGTTGCTTGCTAGCAGCACCCAACTCCATTGGAAGGAAAGGCTCCTTTTGCTCTTCCTGTCAACAGGATTACATGACAAATACATAATCCTTGTAACATCTTTGCCCTTTTAAAAGAAATAAGGCTAGAAGTGCAAAGCAGTGGTCAAATACCGGGCTCAATGGTTGCAATGTCATCTGAGCATAAACTTCATCTGTCTCTGCATCAGCCTGCAAAAGCACCAGGTGAATTATCATAAGCTGCTTATTAAGAAGCTACATGATGGTTTCTTTAAGAGTGAACTCACATGCATGGTGACATTATGAAGCTGGCAGATTAACTGAGGAGGTAAGTTTGGATAATTTGGGATTTGAGCATCAACTTCCTTATTAGTTGATGCCGCAACCTGCACAGAACTAAAATTACTTTAGACAGTACAGTTTCAGTTCATTCTTCTGCCATATTAAGTTTAATGATGCACTGAGCAAACAATAAAGACAATCCTCTGCCCTATTATGTACTGATGCACAAATGCAAAAGCAGAGCTGTTCTACCTTCTTTTATAAATTCTAGTAAATTCGAGTCAACAAAATCCGGCCATGCCTAGCATAATGAAAGAGATGTGCACAGACTACAAACCAAGTGACTGACCTGCTCGCTATGGCCCTGTGGAAAGTAGACGACCCTGCTCCTGACCACTGGCAAAGACACAAGGGGCCCAGCGCATGCATGCCACAGCTCCGAGTTCAGACATCTTTGTTCCCCTGCAACATGCCAAACACACATGAGCTGAACAGCAAACCACCAGAAAGTTAAGTTCATGTGAAGCTACTATTTGTACTTGCCCACAGACAGTAGGAGGTTCAGTCAGTATCAAATAATGTTATAACATGAGGGCAATGAACAGAGCCAAGTAATGTAGGAGTAGTTCTTTTTTTTTCTTTCTTTTTTCTTTGTGTGTGTATGTGCGGAGTGTGTGCAAGGCAGCAATGGAGACTCATTTATGCATTATGTAATCATGCACAAACAACTCAAAGTGCAGAATCACAAAGCTCCATGATCCATAATCCACTTTACAATGCAGGCATCAACACAAGCTGAGAAAGTGCAGAACTGAAACAATGTCGAAATTGTGAGCAAGGATATATACCGTCGTTCTCCGGCAAGGCCTGCGGCATATCCGCCGACGCCGGCGGAGAGAGCTTCATCTCCAATCACCAGTGCACCCGTCGCCAAAGAGCACGAAACTCCGCCGCACCAGGATACCGGAGAAGCTGCTGGTCAGCTTCCCATCATGCTCCCAGCAGCAGCAGCAAACACCTGCCTTCCTCTCTTGCGCCCAGAAATATCTTCCATTTTTTTCTCCCTCAACAACTAACCAAAACCTGGACCGTCGCAGCAAATCCTCCCCTTCATCTCCCCGAAAAAATTCCACACAAACTCTTTAAATCAATCAAACTTGGAAACCAATCACCCCCCTCAGAGCTCGAGTATTTTCACCCAAAACTGATGAAAAACACCCAGGCGACCGCAACTCGATCCGAAGAACCGGATTTTCGCCAACGGCGGGAGCAAGTGAGCGGAGAAACCGAAGAACGCCGCCGACCCCGAGTTCATCAGATCAACACGCAGCTCATCCCAAGCACTCAAAACACAGCACCTTCACTCTCGGCGACGGCTAACCCAAACCGCCGCCCTCAAATCGCCACCGACACTAGCCCGCAGCCGCCGCCGCCGCGGACGAGTCCAGCCTTCCTCTCAGGCGCCGCCGCCGCAACCGCGCACCCCCCGGAGCTCACGAGATCGCGGAATCAGGCGACGACGACCACCACCACCACCAAACGGCGTAGCATTCGGCGCCGGCGGCGGAATCAGGCGGCGCGACAGCGAGGCGGGAGCTGGGGGCGCGCGGTCTCCGAGACGGCGGGGAGGGTGGTGGGGGCGCGAACCCTAGGTGCTAGGGCTAGGCCGCCATGGCCGGATCGAGGTGTGAGTGGTGGAGGTGGTGGTCGAGTTTTTTTTTTCTTCTTTTTTTCTTTCCGTTTTGAGGGGTTTAGTAGGAAGAGAAGAAAAACGGAGAGAGAGCTTCTTGGAGGTAGTAAAACAAATCTGATGAAAAGAAAAAGGTCAGATTTATTTCTTACCACTGCTACAAATTACAAGTCGCCCCTTTTGAAATGGGTTATTTTTGTTTTCGGGTTGTGGTATCTTTGACTAGATTCTTTGGAGTTGGGTTCCTTGGAAACGCTGTTTGGATGGAGGCTAACTTTGCCATAACTCTATTTACTATAATTGTGGCAAGCCACACAAAGTGTGGCCAACAATTTGTTAACCATAACTATGGCAAACTTTGGCTAGCAAATGAGAGTATGACGCTTGGGCCAATGTGTTAATAAAGTGTGGCTTGACTCAACTGCGGCACGCAACCAAACACTAGTCTAAAAAATTGTGGCACGCTTAAAGTTTGGTGTGGCAAACTGAGGCCACCAACCAAACAGCCCCGTAGGTCATGCGTCGTTTAAATTATGTGTGGAGTGAATTCATAGGAAATTTTAAAATTATTGTTTGATTACACTAATATAAAAACTAGACAACGATAAAATCTTACTACTCACCCTGTTTCAAGTTATAAGACATTTTGACTTTGATTAAAGTTAAATTGTTTTAAGTTTGACTAAATTTATAGACAAATATAGTACTCCCTCCGTATTGTAATGTATGACGCCGTTAACTTTTTGACCAATGTTTGACCATTCGTTTTATTCAAAATTCTTGTGCAAATATAAAAATATTTCTGTCATGCTTAAAGAACATTTGATAACGAATCAAGTCATAATAAAATAAATGATAATTATATAATTTTTTTATAAGACGAATGGTTAAATGTTGGAAAAAAAGTCAACGGCGTTATACATTAAAATATGGATGTAGTAATATTTATAATACCAAATTAGTTTCATCAAATCAATAATTGAATATATTTTCATAATAATTTTGTTATGGGTTAAAAATGTTACTATTTTTTCTATAAATTTAGTCAAATTTAAAGCAATTTTGTAATCTGAAACGAAGGGAATACTTGCTAATTTTCCGCTAACCAAGGACATGTCCATCGGGAGATGATGGGTCAATGATTTTATATGTTTATGGGTCAATGGTGCTCAAAGTGTTTTTTAGTTTTTCTCTATGGGTACTTTTTTGTTTTTTTCGGGGAGAGAGGTTGACGAATGGGAGGGACGGACGGCTAAAATTTGCATAGGAATTTTAAAATATTTAGTAAAAGTCACTTGACCCATTCATGTACTATTTCAATTCTCCAAGATTTCTCTAATTATCCTATATTCCAAAACAGATGAAACTAGCATGCGGTGCAATTGGCCAAGGGGTACTTTGCTTCAAATGTTAATTCTGAAAGAAATTGAGATAGTGTCAACTAATACTCTAGACACGATTTGTTATCACATGTTTTTTACTTGAAGTATCATCTGTGCTAACGGAGGTCCTACCGCCACAGTTTTAAAATTAACACAACAATTTTACAACGAGTAGTTTGTTTCGACAAAACATAGGACCTCATCGTTTGCCCTATGGCTTATAAGACGTTGCCAAAATTTGATTTGGACAATTGATTCTGGAGTTGATTTTAATGTTCTGTAGTATAATTTTGTTCAACATTGGTTTTTAAGTCACTCGGGATATATACACAAAAAATTTTATCTACCGCTTGAAAAATTTAAAAAATTCACTCGAGTGCTTCTCTACTACCATAGCGAAATTAATGTTCTGTAGTACTGTTTAGAGTAACAAGTCATAGTTTATTTGGTAGAGCTCCAACTCCTAAATTTGCTTTAGGAGTTAGGTCTAGAGTGAAGTTGTGAGCTGTATAAATCCAGCTCCACCTCTATAGTTCATTTTGTGAGAGAGCTTCACCCAGCCCCACTTTCATTTTAGGTGAAGCTGAAATTGTTTGGCTGAGCTGAAGCTGTGCCAAACATGCCCTCGATGTGTGCGAGGTATCCAAGGACTCATTCGCAAATAAAAAACCTACCTAAGATGCAAGCCAAAGAACCCACCACACGCCACGCTCCTCCTGTACAAGTGACGTTGAAGTAGTACTCCACCAAATTACCACCCCACCCTTGGGCGGCAGTCTCGACGCTCCGCCTCGAGATCCGTGGAACCAACACCACCGCAGTACAATCGGACGGCCCAGACGGCTCGAGCCATCCCGAGGCCCAAGCTGGCGGGGTGGGCACGTGCAGGGGCAGCAGGGTCTTTTCCCCCACCCCCGTGCGTTTCTCGGCGTACGAGGATTCGTCCCTTTCTTTCCCCACCGGAGTGTGGGGCCCACCACCATGCCGCGCGTGGACCACGATTTAATGCGGTCCTCGCGCCCGTGTCTCGGGGAGTATGCCGACCGTCCGATCGGGAGATGGACGGCGTGGATCGCCTCTGTAGCTCTGCGCAACAGGTGCGAGCTTTCTACTCCGTGCAGTTCGCTTGTGGTGTCTGATTTCAATTTTCAGCTGTTCATACTTCTGATTACGCTTAAAAAACAACTTACGATTACATACGTTGATAAAATTATATCTAAATACAAAGTTAAAAATTGATATATTTTAAAACGGAGGTAGTTTATATATATATATATATGTATATATATATATATGTATATGTATATATATATATATGTACATATACATGTGTATACATGTATATATGTATATATACATGTATATATATATATACATGTATATATATATATACATGTATATATATATATATATATACATGTATATATATATATATATATATATGTGCAGTTAGTACTTACCGTTTTCAAACATAAACGTTGCCCCTAAACGAAATCAGCCTTGTGCCTTTGATTTACGTTGGTCTATTTTATTTTGATTAACATATATTTCTAGCATGCTTTTCAAACTGATATTTTATGTAAAACTTTTTGTACAGAAGTTGTTTTAAAAAAAACAGATAATTCTATTTCTCAAGTAAATAATAATTAAAACTTAATTAATTTTATACTAATATTTTTTAAATTTGCTTTAACTTTATCTTCATTTTCATTTTCAGTATAAACGAATAACACCATTGTTCAAATGTTGTACACACCATGGCTTATCATCAAACGATCAAGTCAAACTTGCATTAGACCTCTCCATGCAAGTTTCACGCTTTGGACGATCGAGGACGTCCTGCCACAGTATAACCCCCTATTCGCAAATACTAATGAGTACTGTACAGTGCACACCATATGGAAGGTTTGTTGCGTCCTCCCAAATCTCACCATTTAATTACCTCGAAAAGACAGTTCTTCAATGTCACTAATGACAAGGACTTCTTGTGTTATTGATTTCCTCAACTGTTCCTGCCAAATCCTTCGACTGTATAGTACTCCCAAGGCCTGGGTTTAGATCTCAATTTTTTCTTCAAACTTTTAACTTTTTTATTACATCAAAATTTTTCTACACACGTAAACTTTCAACTTTTCCGTTATATTATTTCAATTTCTATCAAACTTTTAATTTTAATGTGAACTAAACACATCTAAGTATGTAGGAGTAGTCATGACTAGTGCTACTACATTTTGTACTCCGAAGTACAGTAGTAATCCTATTTGTACTGAGCAGCAGCAGTGCAGCCAGTCACTCTCTAGGCTTATCTTTCAATTAGTTGCGCTGTCTCGTTTACCTATCACTGTTTACCATCGATATCTTAACCTTACTCATTAGTAGGAGTAACTTTTATACGATTAATTTGTTATTGTTGACAAAAGTTGTATTTATGACATGACACATATTGCTAATATGTAACAACCTTTTAAGTATATACTATTTCTTTTTTAAAAAAGGACGAGCAGTCAAAACTAAAAGAACTTATTACTATTGATTGATCTACATCATAAGTCATGGAAAGATAAAGTAAACACATAAAATAATTTGGCAAAATTTGTCAGGGAACACTTAGAAATACTGATTTTGTTAGGAGACATCACAACAACAGTGTCTTCGGGTAAATTCATGTTGGTGCAGTGTCTCTTAACAAAGACCGTACATTTAAGTGCCACGTAGTAAATTTTACCAAAATAGATTATAGGCAAACTTTTATATGCGTAGCATGTTCTCTTAGCAGTTATTACTACGGAAAAGCTAATGCAAGAAAATAATCTATAATAAAACCTCATCATTAAATTTGAAATTTAAATTTAAATTTTGGGCTGTAGCTAATAAAATCAAGCAGATGATTAGAGGCCGAGCACTCCAATTTAAGAGCAGAGGTAGTCAAAATCTTCAGCTGGCACCTGATAGCAAAATGCTCTGAACTACAGTACACTCCTCCCAGTACAACCAGCCCATGCATGCATGGCTGTTCAGTTTTTTCGGCCTTTTGTCTTTTTTTCCTAATAAGCCAAAACAACTTATTAGAAAATAAACATAGATTTATAGGTAAAATTTTTATATATGTGTTATTGTGACTTAAAAGCTAAAGCTAAAAAAAAGAAACTACGTTGAAAATATCTCAAAATTAATCTTAAAATTAAGTTTGAAAATTTAAATTTGTCTTTTTCTTTTGGCTGATTAGGATGGGAGCCTTTTATCTTTTAGGCCTTGTTGACTAATGGGTTAGAAAAATAATTTCCCATCCACCAAAAGACATCTTTAAATCCTAACCATTTATTTTTTTCTCTTTCATTTAATCCTAACCCTTTATTTATTTTTCAATCTCAATCTAACCTCTCATTTCCCCTTATAACATAGCCTTGCAGTTTCACCCCCTGCCGACCTCCCTTTCTTTTTTACCACACGCTCCAAGGCCTTTTCAATTTATTTTTTCCTTTCACCTTTTTACGGTTTTACCACCGCCGCCCCCCCCACCCCCCCCCCCCCCGGCCCCGCGATGCCGCTTGGTTCGGCGCCGACACGATGGGACCTGACGGAGCGCACGGCGGCCGGGCCGTCCGATGCGCGTGGGCCCCACCCCCTCGACGGGACGGCTCGTGTTGTGGTGGTCGGCCCGACTGCCAGCGCGGGTCCCACTGACGCGTGGGGCCCACTGGACCGAGGTGACGTGTCGTGCAGGGGTGGGGGCCTTCTTCGCATGTGTGGGCCGGGCTGGAAGTATCGGTGGGCCCGGCCCAAGCGTGGCCTTTCTGGTGCTCTGATGAGGTGGAACAGCGATGCGTGATGAGAGCAGGTACAATAGTAGGCTATAAGCTAGCTGTAAATATATTTTTAATGAGATAAATAAGGAGAGAGAATGATAGCGAGCTATAGATTTATAGCCAGCTGTAGCATGAACTCCAAGACGCAGTATGTGTATAATAGGTGGGGCCAAGTATCAATAGTGCAGTATATAACTATTGTATGAATGAACTATTAGATTGGCTATAGATGAATTGGAGCCAATAGTTGGCTATACTATTAAACTTGCTCTGATGAGAGGGAAGGCAACTGCCAGTTGTCGTGGACACGTGGCTGGATCCCATTTGCTGGCTAGGAAAGGACAAGGTCGCAAATTGCAATTCATACTACTATCACCGTATCATCAGTATTTTCTTTAAGCCCCCTTTTGAATCAAAGAAAAACCATAGGAATTCTAGAAGATTTTAGAGCCCCTTTGAATTGCAGGGTAGAAAAAATGGAGGAGTAGGAAAAACACAGGATTCTGACAGGAATTGAAGTGTAAAACAGAGGATTGCAAAACACAATGGTCGTTTGATTGGAGCGCAGGAAAAACGCAGGAATCAGATGAGAGAGATAGACTCAAAGGAAATTTTCCAAGAGTTTGGAGCTCTTGCTAAATTTCCTCCAAGATCCACTTGCAGGGCCCCTTTGAATCGTATGGTAGAAAAAACGGAGGAATAGGAAAAATACACGATTCTGACAGGAATTGAAGTGTAAAACAGAGGATTGCAAAACATAGGAAAAACACAGGAATGGTCGTTTTATTGGAGTGCAGGAAAAACGCAGGAATCGGATGAGAGAGATAGACTCAAAGGAAATTTTCCAAGAGGTTGGAGCTCTTGCTAAATTTCCTCCAAAATCCATATGCAATGTGCCATTCCATAGAAATTTCATAGGATTTGGAAAACTTCAATCCTTTGAATCAAATGGCCAAATAGGAAAATTTCCTATAGGATTTGAATCCTATGAAATTCCCACATAAATTCTTTGATTCAAAGGGGCCCGCAATGTGCCATTCCATAGGAATTTCATAGGATTTGGAAAGCTTCAATCCTTTGAATCAAAGGGCCAAATAGGAAAATTTCCTATAGTATTTGAATTCTATGAAATTCCTACATAAATCTTTTGATTCAAAGGGGCCTTATCCTATGGGAAATAATTCTATAGAGTCCTTTGAAACAAAGGATTGTTTCCTATCAATTTCTTTGAAATTCCTATGGAATGAACCTTACTAGAGCAATTTTGGAGGAAAAAAAGCACGAGGTCTCACCTCATGTTTTCCTTTTCATGTGTCTAAGGTTCCTGCGTTTTTCCTGTGTGCTAATCAAACGACAGTTTGAAGACTTTCCTGTGTTTCAAAATCCCATAGGAATTCAATTCCTACGTTTTTCCTATTCCTCTATTTTCTCAATCCTGCGATTCAAAGGGGCCCTAATTAGTTCACGTAACACACTCACACAACCATTAATACTACCTCCGTACCAAAACGTTGCTATCTAGATGAGATTTTACATGCTGTCCTAGATATCAACATTTTGAGACAGAGGAAGTACATCCTTAACTCGTGTTTAGAGAGCCCGGCAGGTGGACACTAATGACATCATCTTCTATAGTTCAACTAAAAAAACACGTTTTCATGTATACAATCTTTCAAATGCAATTCGATCACTAGTTTTCGCTGCAAGAAATTTAAGCTGGCTGTGGCTACCGCGACAGTACAAGCAGCACAAATTATGCTGCATGTTTGTTTGTAGTTGTTTGCTGCTATGCAATCACAAAATTCTGTTCCCAGTAATTAACAGTGAATGCATTATTGAATTTATACTTAGTCATTTATATAGTTTAGGACTCGTTTGATTAATTAAATAAACGGCATTCTGCACTTTTGATCCACATGATGGTCCAACTTGTATTTATTTTATTTTCCAACTGGATTGATATTGTACTTTGCACGCGAGTGATGTTTTTCTTTCTAATTTTTCTTGAAGAATTCATGCCCATGTCTATTTCATTTTAATAATCCCTATAAAGTATAAACTTCACAGTATAGATATGTATATAAATTCCACATGAATTCTTGCAAACATTTGAAAGAAAAAAAATCACCGTCTCAAACCTAGCAAAGTTCGAACAAGTTTGATGTAGGGCAAGAGCCAACCATCAACTTGTTTATATCTTACTTCATCCGTACCAAAAATATAATAATAGTGTAGTATTAGATTGCGACCAACGGAGTATTGGGCTGCTATATTTTAGACATAGAAAATACTTTTGACTCATTTTGTGTAATTTTATATTGTTTGAATGAAAAAAAACACTAACATCTTAGTTTCTGAAATTGGGAATAAGTTTGGGAAAAGTTGGTAGTTTGGAAAAAAAGTTAGGAGTTTAAATGAGTAGGAACGTTTTAGATGTGATTAGATGTGATGAAAAGTTAAGAGTTTAGAGGAAGTTTGGTGTAAATTAAATAGGGCCTATAATAACATTGAAAGTAATGACATATGAACTCATTACTTAAATAAACTTTAAATTGATCAGAGTAACATCAAAAGACATCACTACTAGCAGCATTAATAACGGTAGCACTAGTAGTAACATCCAAACTACTCCACTTTACTAAAAAAGCAGAGATAACTCCAAACACAAGCATAACTGCATTAACCACACGAGCAATTAACATCTTAGATCACCCAAAATGATAAAGTAAGGTGCTATCTATAAAACATGTACATCTCAGCAATAGACTAAATTAATAGTAAACCATCTCAATAGTATGTCTACATGGGTATCTATAGCTCTCTAATATATTGTCTCGTTTTTCTCTATAGACTATCTTCAGGTTAGTAGATAGTTTTGCTCTCTCTCTTCATTTAATCTCTTCCAAGTAGGAAAATATGCTGACATGGATCTCTTATAGAGAGCCTATAGATAACCATTGTGGGTGCCCTTATAAGTAACTGCCACGTCAGCACCAATCCCATTAATTAATCGCTAAGGTTACCCCTCCCTTTCCGAATCCCAAACCCGGAAACCGCCACCCCACCCACCCACCTACTCACCTCCATTCCGGATCCCGACCCGCTTTCCGGACCCGGAATCCCACCCACCGCCCACTCCTCGCCGGCGAGCGCCGCCGCCGGTGACGCCGCCATGAAGAGGGCGCGAAGCTCCGAGGTCTTCCTGGGCGGCCGCGGGCGCGCGCGCCGCCGCGTGGCGCCTCTGCTCGCCGCGGTGGCCTTCGTGTACCTCCTGTTCGTGTCATTCAAGCTCTCCGGCCTCGCCGGCATCGCCGACCCGGCGGCTGTCACCCGCCCGGCGAGCGGCGGCGCGGGAGAGGTGGTGATGCCGCGGCGGCTCGAGGATCCGGCGCCCCGCGCGCGGGGTGATGGGGATGGTGTCGCCGTCGCGGGGTACGGTCGCATCACTGGAGAGATCCTTCGGCGGCGGTGGGAAGCTGGAGGGAGGGGGCGGAGGCGGTGGGGACGAGGCGGGAACTTCTCCGAGCTCGAGAGGATGGCCGACGAGGCGTGGGAGCTGGGCGGCAAGGCGTGGGAGGAGGCGTGCGCGTTCACGGGCGACGTGGACTCCATCCTCTCCCGCGACGGCGGGGGCGAGACCAAGTGCCCCGCGTCGATCAACATCGGCGGCGGCGACGGCGAGACGGTGGCGTTCCTCCCCTGCGGGCTCGCCGTGGGTTCCGCGGTGACGGTGGTGGGGACGGCGCGGGCGGCGCGGGCGGAGTACGTGGAGGCGCTGGAGCGGCGCGGGGAAGGGAACGGGACGGTGATGGTGGCGCAGTTCGCCGTCGAGCTCCGCGGCCTCCGCGCCGTCGAGGGGGAGGAGCCGCCCAGGATCCTCCACCTCAACCCGCGGCTGCGCGGCGACTGGAGCCACCGCCCCGTGCTGGAGATGAACACCTGCTTCCGCATGCAGTGGGGAAAGGCGCACCGCTGCGATGGCAACCCCTCCAAGGATGACGACCAGGGTACATCCCTTATACTATCCACTCTTTACAGTTGATTTTCAAATTGCATTGCAATTAGTCGTGCTCAAGCTTGCTTAGTTGCTGAATTGATGCTTCAGACATTGCTCACAAGTTACAAGTAAGCAAGATTGCTAACTCTTTGATCTAATAAAAGAAGATTGCTAGGTGTTGGGAAGTTGGAAGTAACTAATAGTAGTATTTGTGGATCAAGATAGCATTGCTGGCATTTGATTACATTTCACATGATTTTTAACCAGTCACCAATTTTTTTTTTATCTGGTGAGCTAATTCCTAGTGGGGTTTGCTATCCTGTATTTGGTGACTCTGGATGTTGTTAGGGTATTTAGTGAATGCACATTGTAAGGTGAAAAGTTGAAACTGTCCCGCATTTATAAATGGAATTGCCTTGCAAGCCAAATGTGCAGTTTCATGGTTGATGGTTTCTTTTGTGCAAATCTGACCCAAAATAATGCTGTCTTCTAGTTAAAACACTGCCGATTCCTTGCCTGTATTTATGTTTGATCTCCCTTAACTTTGTAGTGGATGGATTAATTAAATGTGAGAAATGGGATCGGAGAGACAGTGTTGATTCAAAAGAAACAAAGACAGGCTCATGGTTGAACAGGTTCATCGGCCGAGCAAAGAAACCAGAAATGAGATGGCCATACCCATTTTCAGAGGGGAAGATGTTTGTTCTTACCATCCAAGCTGGTATCGAAGGATATCACGTTAGCGTGGGAGGCCGTCATGTTGCCTCATTTCCTCATAGGATGGTAAATTTTCTGTTACTTTGGCCAATATTATGTTACCTTGTACAGAACTCTAGCTTCTTCGAGTGAAAATACTGAGTAACTACTGTCTTGATTACAAATGTTTATCAGGGATTCTCTCTTGAAGATGCCACAGGTTTAGCTGTGACAGGCGGCGTAGACGTTCACTCTATATATGCAACCTCTCTTCCAAAGGTCCATCCTAGTTTCTCTCTCCAGCAGGTCTTGGAAATGTCTGATAGGTGGAAGGCTCGCCCAGTACCAGAGGAACCAATTCAGGTTTTTATTGGCATAATCTCTGCTACAAACCATTTTGCTGAGCGCATGGCTATAAGAAAAAGCTGGATGCAGTTCCCTGCCATCCAACTGGGAAATGTGGTTGCTCGGTTCTTTGTTGCACTGGTAAGATAACTTTCATGATTTGGCAATGGTTTTTGGTCGCATTTGTTAATGTATGGTATGTCGTGCTACATTGTAAATTTGTAATCCTCCACATGTTTACTATTACATGAGGACTTAGGAGTAGTTGGGGCCTTGGGGGCAATGGTTTGTTTTACACTCATCTTTCACTCTAGTAGATCTTTTGTGGCTAGATATATGCAGACATATGTGTTCTTTACAAGGTGTTTTGTATGACATTGCATGCGCTTCACGTGTATATGTAGCTGGGTGGTTGGTTTATCGCATGCAGCAATATATACAATTTTAGATTTGAGGATAATTGCTATTTTTGCATTTTTTTAACTTAAGATTATAGTACATTTTATTAGAATTAGATTAGATTTGTATAGTCTAAGTATCTCTCGTATATGTATATATATCTTATTTAAGAGTTTGTTGTAATCTCTATTGTATTTAGCTATATAAATATAATCGCCCCCCCACGTTGGGTGGTGTGGCGTCTCATAATTTTCTACACATTTATTAGGTATTTGCTGCAAATGCTGTTATACATAATTTCTGCATATCTCATTCAAAATAGTTTCCCAAAATAACAATAACAGAAGTCTGTGACCATTATGCTTCTGTAGAGTCATAGAAAAGAGATAAATGCAGCACTTAAGACAGAAGCAGATTATTTTGGAGATGTTGTCATTCTGCCATTTATTGACCGATATGAGCTGGTGGTTCTGAAAACAGTCGCAATATGTGAATTTGGGGTAAGTCATATACATCTCAAAATAGCTCCGAACAATGTTTCTGACAGCATGCATGTTTTTCCTCAAGTAGATACTATTGCAATATGTGTGTAGGTGCAAAATGTAACCGCAGAGTATATCATGAAATGTGATGATGACACCTTTGTGAGGCTGGATGTAGTATTGAAACAGATCTCCGTCTACAACAGAACCATGCCTCTTTATATGGGTAACCTAAACCTGTTACACAGACCTCTCCGGCATGGTAAATGGGCTGTGACGTACGAGGTATGTTCACTTTTGTAAAATGTAAACTTTCTGGATTGACATGTATTTGGTTACTTTAAACATGGCGGGTACCAACAGGAATGGCCAGAATTTGTGTATCCTCCATATGCCAATGGACCAGGCTATGTTATTTCAATCGACATTGCAAGAGACATCGTATCACGCCATGCAAATCACTCCCTAAGGGTGAGGCTTATTCTGAAACTTCATTGCACCCATTTTTCCCTGCACATACCGTTAATGCTATCTGATTGTCACCTGACTGGCACTGCAGTTGTTCAAGATGGAAGATGTGAGCATGGGCATGTGGGTCGAAGACTTCAACACCACCGCGCCAGTTCAGTACATTCACAGCTGGAGGTTCTGCCAGTTCGGCTGCGTGCATAACTACTTCACGGCGCATTACCAGTCACCTTGGCAAATGCTGTGCCTCTGGAACAAACTGTCATCAGGCCGAGCACACTGCTGTAACTACAGATGACGCTCACTCATCCACTCCTTCGATTTCACAACTGACAGCAGGCAACATCGATCGATCCCCCCATGAAGGCAATATTTTGTGCCGCGCATACATGGACCAGGGTCTCCATTTGCTTGACCTGAATTCGTCTTGCTCGACTGACAGCGGATACCATTTCACAGGAGCTCTTCTACGCCAAGATAAGTATTATATCGGTGGGATATTTACTGCTTCACCTCCCGGAGCTCATGTGGTATATATCTAGGAGTACCATACAGCTGTGTTTGGGTGATTGAGGTGAATGCGAATGTGGGTGGGGAAATGAAAGCCTGAGGCAGGGACAGAAATCACATTTGCATTTTAGCTGCTAGAAGTACGGTACAGGGGCAAAGCATTTTCTTGTCTGCTATTTATGCACTAACTGGAGGTGGACAGTTTTGGATGAGATTATATCATTTCTTTTGTTGGTTGTATGCCAGTATGTGCTGGTTCTTTGAATGTGCCAACTCTATAGCAGTGCAAAGGTTTGAAAGAAAAAAAAAACAGAGAAGTCAATTATGTCCTGAAATTAGTAATGCATGCTCGGTAGAAAAAAGATTGAATTTCACGCAGACGTTATCCTTGGATATATTGCATTATTGCTTCTGTTTAAAATATAGCGTTGAGTTTCTTGTGTGATGTACTGATGTGTCAGCCAGGTAGCCTGACCATAGAATTCGACGGACTAAAGAACGAGCTATCAACGAAAACTGCTATTTTTTTTCTTGTCCAAATTTATTATGTCACTGGTCCTAGTACCAAATCTCCTATACGGTGTGATTTTTGAAAAAAGTACTACCTCTATTTTCAAATGTATGACCTGTCTAATTTTGAAATAATCAACGTTAAACAAAATAAAATGGATGGCGTACTTTTCAAATTCCATTTTTAAATTTTTAAACATTGATTTTTAATTCATTCGTTGGTGTTCTTATATAATCGACACAAAATCAGAATATTCTACCGTCCATCCTCCACGGTCTAAAACGAGCATGGACTTTATATAATCGACTCAATTACTGTTTATAATTGAATATGAATTTGGTTTCGGCGAATCCCCTTATCAAAGTAATTCCTGTTTATATAAGGGTAGAAAGATAGTTGAGTGTAAAATAAGAAGAAATCTGAATGAGAAGTGATTAATGAGACCATTAGTATTATATGTGATAATTATTTTGGAACAAATTTAAATCTTAGAAATATAATTATTATAGGACAAAGGTACTACAGCGAATTTTTATTTCCTTTTTCTTAAATAAAAACTGAACCAAGGTATACTGTTTGGTTTCGATTTTATATTTTTCCCAAAAATCCCCTTTTATAAAATAATTAACTATTTTCCACTCTTACGTCACTGGGCCCACATGTCATAGACAACAAGTGACAAATTATTAATTGTCATATATTAAGAGTGACAAATAGTTAAATATTCAATTTTTTTATCTCCCCATTGTTATCTCGCCTATTTACCATACTGCCCCTCTCCGTGTGCGAAACGGGAGGGGCTCGGTCGCCGGGTCGCGTCGCACCGCATCATAAGGAGCCCCCCCACCCGGGTGCGGGCCGACGGTCGGTCGGACTCGCCTCGCCTCTCCCCGAATCCCGCCGCCGCCGCCGCCGCCGCCGACGAGACTCGACGCCTCCTCTCCTCCCTCCCCGCTCCTCTTCGGGCCCGGAGCTCGGCGGGGGTGGAGCGGAGACACACACACGACCCGGCGGGCCGGTTCTTTCCCCCCCTTATCCGGTGAGGAAGCCCTAGCTTTTGCTTGGGTGGGCGGGTGGGGTGGGGTGGGTTTGGTTACTTGGTTCTAAAGTTTGACCTAATCTGAGTTGCTTCTCTCGCTGTTGCTGCGAGCAATTGAACCCGATTCCGAATCTTTCCCGGGGCGCTGCCACGTCCAATCGGTGTAATTCCAGTTGAGGGTTTGATGGGGGAGCTGTGGAACTAGGGTTTTCGAGTTGAATATACTATGCTCTGCTGGGTTCATTGCACACTTGCAGTAGCAGAGGAGTGCGTTTTTTTTGTTATGTGCCGAACTCTAGCGCAGTTCGCATGATCATCAATTTAGTGACGATAGAAACATGCCGCCATATGCTGTGCATTTTCCCCCACAACAAGAATGGCGTGCTAGAAAAATGTTTTGTGTGACTTTTAACTCCAAAAGGGAAAGGAGGAGTAAAAACTGTTGCTCTTTTTTTGTAGGGAGAAGATAAATTTGTTCCTCTGGTCTGGCGAGCATTAATCTTTCAGTTTCTAGTAGTGGGCTCTTGGAGATTTGAGCTGATTTCAAACAATGTAGGTAAAGGTTGTAGGGTTCATACGGTTTATGGCTTGGTCCGTTAGAAATAGAGCATACCAAGCCACCAACGCTCTACCCGCTAACCCAGAGTTGTGTTGGGCACATTAATCTTCTAGACTTTGGGGTCAATGTCAAAGTTTGTGAGTAGAACTTTAGATTATTTACAAAATGTTGCTTGGATCTGCTAGAAAGTAGATCACACAAAGGTTCTGTCTGCTAACCAAGAGATGTTTTTGGATGCATGCTCCACGTCCTTATGTCTCTCCAGTTTTACTGTATCAATCTTGGGCTATGTTACTGCTTCATTCATGTTCAACAAAGAAATAGAGAGTTAGAGATCCATCTCCCAACTTTGTTACTACTCTGTTATTACTTTGATACTATGTGGAACAAGAGAATTATGTTGTCAGTATAGAAATGTACACAATCTTCAGTTTTCCAGTATCGTAAAAATTGTGAAAGAAAACCAGTTTTAAAACTCATAGAGCCACTTAAGTTTCCTCGTTGTGATACTTTGACAGTTCGACAGTAAGTACTAAGAAGTTCAAGAAAACTAAGATATATGTTCCATAATATGAGAATATTTATTGTAAGTGTCTTCCAGGATTGGTGGAGTTTAGCTTATCAATCTGTTTATTAATATTTACGCAGTATTGCAGTCATGGCATTATGTGGTTGAATATATAGATGGATAATAGATGATCTAATTTGAAATGTGATAAATTGTTTTCAATAAATGGGTCTGCTTTTGGGAAATGAAAATCAATTTTGTTTTGGTAGATATTCTGTTTCCGGGAACAGGGATCGATTAAGCCACAGTGTAAGTTCATACTGTGACCTATTGACTTTGCTTTTGTACGCTAGTTGTAAAATTTTGTTCAATTGAATTTCAGGTGAATATGCACTGTGCTTAGGCTAAGATTCAACCTGATGGATTCTGATGACAAGAAGTTTGGAAAAGGTAGGTTTTTTGTTGATAAGGATTTTTTTTTCTGAACATCAAAAGATTTCCAGCAAAAACGTCCCAACTATGTTTAAAGAATAAGCAGGGATAATCTGTGCTTTATTTGGCGTGTAGCTGATGCCACCATAATCATTTGTATTGGTTATCTGATGCAAACATCATGTTGTTGTCCTGAGCTGAGTGAGCTCCATGTACCGGAAACACTGTCAAACATCTTGAAATATTTGTGGTCAATTTTTTTTTGGTGGGGGTGTTATGCAGTGATTTTCTTTTTGCTGTGATTTAAATCAGTGCTGACTTTTGAGCCTACCAGTGCGACGACTGTTCATTATAAGCTATTTTCTCTTTTGTAACATAATTTTTGATACATGTCCTTTTCCATGTCTTGGTTGCTTGAAATGCTGGTGGTTCTGATATTTCAGGCCCTAGGGAGCTCACTGGTGCTGTTGATTTAATAAGCCACTATAAATTGCTTGCCCACCATGATTTCTTTTGCAAGAAGCCTTTGCCATTGGCAATATCAGATACACATTATCTTGACAATGTTGTTGGGGACACTGAAATTCGTAAAGGAGAAGGAATGGAGCTAGATCAGCTGGTTCAGAACGCATACTTGAGGGACAAGCCTGCTTATATCCAGCCGTTTGACATGGAAACACTGGGGCAAGCATTTCAGCTTCGAGAAACGGCTCCAGTAGATTTGCCCTCTGTAAGATCCATTTATCCTCCTACTTCTGCTATCACAGTGTTCATTTGCTCATTGTCCTCTTTACAACATTGAACCATTCATCAGGCTGAAAAGGGTATACCGACTATATCTGGTAAACTGAAAAGTGAGTCCAAAGACAAAGAGAAGAAGCATAAAAAGCACAAAGACAAAGACAGGGACAAAGACAAGGAGCATAAGAAGCACAAACATCGGCATAAAGATAGGAGTAAAGACAAAGACAAAGACAAGGATAAGGACAAGAAAAAGGATAAAAGTGGGCATCATGATTCTGGTGGCGATCATTCAAAGAAACATCATGAGAAGGTTTGTCCATTTAATGTAGGAAATTTCGTATGTTGAAAACTTCTATAGCTAACCATCTTTCCATATGCTGGGCTTTGGACATCTTTCAGAAAAGGAAGCATGAGGGAATGGAGGATTCAGCCGATGTGCATAAGCACAAGAAAAGTAAGGTAGCACACACAGCCATTATGATCCTTGCTGGTATTGCAAATTTCCTCATAGAGTAATTCGTTTTTGTTTGTTAACATGGCTTGTGTATGTCAGCACAAGAGTTCCAGAACAGATGACACAGGGAATGGACTTAGTTAGCTACACTTTCCTTAGTTCGATTGTCAATCCATGTCATATGTCCTTAAAAAGGAGGCTCAGAAGGTTTCTGTCATCAAAACCCACCGCAGTAGTGGTTAGTGCTACTTGAACTTTTTTTGTTTGCAGCATTCAAATATCTTCTGTACTTCCCATAGATCTAGTGATGGGTTGTGGATGCATGAACAACAATCTTGCCAATCTATGAAAAAGAAGTGAATTAACACCAACAAATTTAGTAATGTGTCAGGCAGAATATCTACTTTTTTTAAATATTAAATGATTAATTAATAAATAATTCGAAGTATTAGTCAATGAAGAGAATAAGACATACTGCCTTTTGCTTGGCTCCCTAAACAATAGTCTCATTTTGTATTTATTATCCACATCATAGTAAAGTAATTATGTGTAGATGTATTTGCCCTGATTTTTTCTTTGTGGGAAGTCAATTTTGGACCTCGACAAATTTCTGTCTTCCTTTTCACACGATAAAGTGGCAAACCATACTGTAACTGTAGAGTTGTAGACCATCTTCAATTTACCTGATGCTATTCTAGAAAGAGAAAGAAATCAATGCTGCTTTCTGTTTAGATCATAACAGAGGAAGACTTTGATGCAGAAATGTAGTAATGTATCATAAAAATACTTTCTTGCAGCACACTGCATGCTTAATGTTGTTTCTTTGCAAAACATCCAGCATCATTTGCAAATCTTTAGTTATCTGTTCTTGAAATATTCAAGCGTATGACAGAGCTGTTGTTGTAATACATACATACATACATACATACATACATAATATCAACTGCCATATGAAAATCAATCTACTATGTTTGACGGCAACATTTTGCAATTTGCAAATCAGTGTTCACTTTCTTTGAATTTTCATCACACCCAACTGTCTAATACTTACTTTATGTGGATGGTGCAGATACCATGAATATATATTTAGTTGAAGCTGTTTCAGAAGAACACGTCTTGCCTGCTATTTATGTTGGTTTTGCAGCGTCGATCCTGGGGAACATGTAACTCGTAAAATAGGGACTAACCCACTTTATTGTGCAATTCTTTTGTTTCCTGGCCAAATGGTTGTAGGAACACTTGTCGATGACTCCCAACTTGAAATTTCTGGAGATTAGGCGTAGACTATTTCAGATCAGGTTTCTGGTTAGCATTAACAGTGTTGGATAGATCTAGAAATGCGTTTGTCGGAGGGGAATGAGAAATTAACTTGTATTCAGAAAAAAAAACTAATTCTTCTATATACTTCTATCTGTTATCAAGGAAGATTGTTAATTTTGCAGCCATTGAGAAATGCAATGATTTATTTTGTACAACCCATATCCATTTTCTTGTTCTGTCGTGTAAACATCTTGTCGTCAGATTGTCACTGACGTGATGCTGGAATTTATAACGTTATTATGGAAAAAGATCACTACAAACCATTTAAATGCAAATATTTAAACAGCGATATATGCCATTTTATTTATCTGGAGATTAAACAAAACAGGAGGAGTAAACAAAATAGGATGAACGCAAATACAAATTACAAAAGTAATAGTTTCTGCAGAAGTCGTTCGAAGCATGGCCCAAGTTAGGGAAATTTCAGTCATGGGCTTCAAACTTTGGTCACTTTCTTGGGCTTGGGCCCTCTAGCTTGTCCAGCTCCTCTTCTAGCTTCTCCAGCGGCAGCCGCATGTATCCCTCCTCCTCCTTCATATTCACCCACTCCTCTCTCACCGCCGGCGGCGGCGGCGGCGCATCGCTGTTCGAATTGCTGAGCACGGAAGTGATGGCGGGGTTACGCAGGGTGATGAGTTGCAGGTACAGGTTCAGGCTGTGCGCCCTGATCAGCTCCAGCGGCGACAACCAGTTGCCGCCGTCGTCGAGCTTGATGATGTCGTAGTCGCCGTCGCTGGCGTCGACGTACTCCTTCCCCATCGGCAGCTTCGGCACGATGTCCTGCTTGACGATGACGCGGAACACCTCCACGCCGCGCGCGGCGACGGCGCGGCGGAACGCGTCGTCGCCGACGCGCGGCGCGCCGAACGTCACGGCGCGGACACGAACGCCCTCGGCGTCGGCGTCGGCGGCCAGCGCCGCCGCGACGTCGTGGGCGGTCATCACGGCCACCGCGCCGCCGAGGCTGTGCCCCGTCACGGTCACCCGCACCTTGACGGGCTTCTCGCCGGCGGCGCCGGAACGCCGTCGGAGATGGTCTACCAGCCGCTTCACCTCCATGACGGCCTGCTCCTTGGCGCTGACCGTGCCGTGCTTCACCTTCACGTCCTTGGACGTGTACACGTTGTAGAACCCCTCCGCCACATGGCCGGCGGTGCCGGCGCCGCCGCCGAAGTCGACGAGATTCATGACATGCATGTCCATCATCCAGTCGGCGAGCGTCGACGAGCCGCGCCACGCGACGACGACGTCCCAGCAGTCGCCGCGCCTGGCGACGGCGACGTAGCCGAACCAGTACGTCTTGTCCACGCCGCCGACGACGGGCAGAGCGTCGAGCACCGCCTGGAGCGGCTCAATGGTGGCGAAGAAGTGGGCGGTGACGACGTGCCGGCGGCGGCGGCGGCTGGCATCGGCGGTGGCGATGAGCTTGTCGAGCTCGCCGGACAAGACGGCTTCGTAGCGCTCGCCGCCGCCGGGCTGCTGCTTCGTGACGGCGTCGTAGGTCAGGTAGGCGGCGTCCACCATGAGCCCGTAGCCGAGGAGCTCGTCTCTGTCGCCGTCGTCGGCGCCGGCGGCCATGGCGGAGGAGATCATCCTCGACGTCCTGGCCGGCTTTCGCCATGATGATGATGGATGCTCGTACACCTTACTCGTGGCAACCTGCGACGAAAGAAATCTTGATCTCGTGTGATGAGCAGAGTCGACTGCTGCTGCTGCTGCAGGCAAACGAACGAATCGATTGCTGCATTTGGCGGCAACCAAAGAGGCCCTGAGCTTTCCCGCCATGCCATGGAGGAGGCTGCTCTGGTTGACGCTGCCCATGGCAACGCAAGGCAAAGGCTTGGAGTGTGTGTGTAAACACACTGCAATGCAGCATGCATTATATATAGCCGGTCCGACCTTGCTAAAGTACTCCCTCCGTTTTGTTTGATTGTTTTTAAGTTAAAGTTCTTTAGGTTTGATCAAGTTTATAGAAAAAATAGAAACATCTACAACACCAAATTAGTTTCATTAAATTTAGTGTTAAATATATTTTGATAATATGTTTGTTTTGTATTGAAAATATTAGTCTATTATTTTCTACAAACTCGATCAAACGTAAAGTAGTTATAACTAAGAAAAAAGTCAAACGACTTATAATATGAAATGGAGCGAGTATAAAGTAATGGAGTTTTTTTTAATAATAAAAATGGTATACATCTCCTACTTTTGTTGTTGAGTACATGATAGTGATCATTAAGTCTTTAGGCTAAATTTTAATCAGCATCAGAACGGCCACTTCTTCGTTCTCCGTGTGAGTATACTATTAATCCCACAAAGGATTTACTTTTATTGCCGTTATAACTTTTTTTTGTTAAGTTACTTTTAAAATTGTATAAATTACTTTTAAGTTTTATTGAAGTTATTTTCATAAATGTCTAAGAAGTAATTAATTCAATTCCAAAACTAATTTACATATATGATAAAAGTAAATTCTTTCACCATTATACTTTTTTCTAGAAATTCTTTCATCGGAATATAATCATATGAGATCAGATCATGTTATAAATATTTAATTGTAATGAATATAGTGATATAATTGGATCATAAAAATATTACCTTGATATAGGTTGTCAAAACCATTAACTGAAAAAACCGTGCAATAGTTAAGCAAAACATCGCCTACACACTATTTAGATTTTTGCCTAAAAAAATGTTAGCATGTTCCATGTGTAATTAAGCTGCCTAGCACATGCATGTATCTAGTGAAAAATCGATTGTTGTTCTTTTTTTAAGTAACATTGTATTGACTTATAATTGATTAATCAGTCGTCATCACATGCATTTGTTGGATTAAGTAATAGTACTTACTAGTACCTATTTCTTCTTATCTAACCGTTCTAATTTCAGGCTTACTCCTGGCAAGATCCACTCATCAACATCCCAGAATTAGGTGGACGGCTGCATCCCTGGCTCCGCACTGGACACAACCACATGTGTGTATAGTTTTTTCGTGCATATATACATGTGGATCTGAGATTCATTGTCAATTTGTCATTGGAATGGATAAGATGGAGAAGAATATATAATTATATACTCCCTCCTTCCCTAAATGTTTGACACTGTTGACTTTTTAAAATATGTTTGACCGTTCGTCTTATTCAAAAAATTTTGTGAAATGTGTAAAACTATATGTGTACATAAAAATATATTTAACAATAAATCAAATGATAGAAAAAGAATTAATAATTACTTAAATTTTTTGAATAAGACGAACGGTCAAACATTTTTAAAAAGTCAACGGCATCAAACATTTTGGGATGGAGGGAGTATATGGAACCATGCATGCATTAGTTCATCATTATTCGGATGCAGCTAGCTTAGAGCTTTCTCACTGTGTGGTCAGTTCGGTTTTTCTTACGCATAGTTCGATTTTTAGCATTATACTTGAGGTGCTCTAAGCACAAAAAAATAGATAACATATGCTACCACGTTATACCTTCTAATAAAGAATCAAGATTCATGAGTTTTTCTTATGCCCTATCCGAACGATTGTTTTTTTTTCAGTTTTTTTATGTTTTTTAATCTTTTGTTTCTCGTCCACATTTCTACATGCTTCTCTATTTTTTCTACTCCTGTGATTTTAATTTTTTCTCCCCTTCGCGTGGCGTGGTGCTTGCTGGGTTGGCGGAGGCAGCCAGAGGTTATGACTCTCTGTTTATGTTGGGAATATTGTTGAAATTATTTCCCTAGTGATCTACTCTGTCTTGTTCCCCAACTTAGATGTTGTCTCATCTATAAGTTGTGTTGATTGGCTAAGGATGTTTGACGACCCTAATTATTAACATCCTAATCTTATTTTTTTATGCATGCCCATGTACTTTACTAAAATGGAAACCATCCATTGGATATAAAAAAGCATTTCGGGATGTGTATATATGAACTCATGCACAAGGAATCTTCATATTGAAAATTTGTGATGACAGGGCAATCGTGAGTTGATGCTCTCACACTGCCATTTGCATTTGTTGTAGTAATATAAAATTATGTTCTACTTATTAGAAGAAGATTTTTACAACGCAATGCATATGCACCTACATTACATACCGAGTCATTGGATGCTTTATTGTGATTCATGCTATATCAAAAAGAGGAATATAATGATAATTAAACTTTATTGAAATCTATACTTACATACATATATCTTAAAGAAAATAATGATAAAGGGTGTAGGTGCACATGCACTTGCAGTTTTAAATTGATTTTTCTATACTTATCTAATATCGCTCAAAGGATACAAACAGGGATTCACAAACAAAAAGAGGAATTCGTAGTCACTTTTTCCTGTCTTCCTATTTAATCTTCCAAGGTGCAAAATATGCTTTCTTGGCAAGATCCAATGCAACTACCGAGCTAGTGGTAATGGTTGGGAAATAATTTGGTTGTTTTGAAACCACTAGTCCATTGATTAGATGTAGCCACATTTTTTATGGGGATCTTATATACATTGCCACCATTGCTAGAGATGTGAGTATGCATATTGGGTCAGGAAGTGTAGTTACAATATAGTTATAATGTAATTATATTTCAATTATACTATAGTTACATTTGAAAATTTTTGACTAAAAAAAACTTGTGGCAGTTTTTTTTTGAAGATATTCCCTTAATTAATTCAATTGTCAATTAACTTTTCCTCAAGAAAAATCATGAATTAACTAATAACTAAACAATAACCTTTCTTTTTAACTAATGGAGGCATATCTATTATCTGTGTCATGCTTTTATAATTACGATTTCTTCAAAAAAAAAAATTCATCAGCATTGCGCAGATAACTTTTTTCTAACCTATTTGTTAACTTTATAATTTATATATTTAATTGATCCTTATATTCATTTACTAGCTAATCAACTGATAAGCTGAACTAAACGAAGCCTAAATTCGGAGCAAATTAAGCATGGGGTATTTGCGTTATTATCATGTTTTGAATTCAAATTATGATTTTCCTCATGTTTTTCCAACTTTATGATTTTGACGAAGCTTGTACTTGCCCTTATTGCATTAGGGGAATTTAATGGTGTTAAAATTCATGTTAAAACAGGGGCAAAGTTCATGTCAAGCTTATACTTGTCCTTATCTTGAATAAGTGAATATTGCTATTAAAGTAGGGCCAAAGTTCATCTCAAAATTTTTAATGTCAAAACAAGGGCAAAGTCACAAAGTTCTTAGGGAAGTAGTGGTAAATCTGCAAAGACATATATAGATGAGTTTTAACACCGTGAAGTCTGATCGAAATAGGAGTGGGCAAACACAAATTGCAGTTCAAGAATGAGGGTAAAATTACAAGTTAAAATAGTGGTAAGAACTAATTGTCCCATTAAGCATAGGTCCAACATAAAAGGAGCATACCAAGCCAAAGTTTAACTCACATACTAAGTTAAGTACTCATATTGGTTGGGTTTGGTTTGGTATCGAGTGACCATCTTAGGATCAGGTGGTAGGGTTTTAACTTCTAAATTTAATTTTAAGAGTTAGATATGGAGTAAAGTAACCTGAAATCAATTCCACTTTTCTAATTTATTTTGTAAGAGCATTGTAACCCGTTCCGCTTCTTTTCTAAGGTATATATAGTTGAAACTGTCTGGCCAAACAGTCCACCGTACCATGCCTATTTATATAAATATTGTAAGTCATCACCATGCATGGACACAATGTACATGCGTGTGAGCTATCAAGGTTGATCAAGTAACGGTGAATCAGATTAAGAATAACTAAACACGGATATTCATGATAGTGGAAAATCATGAATGATCAAGGGGATGTACCCTTTGTAGGATAAAAACACAAGAACTAAGCCAATTAGAGAGGGATGAATGGTTGGTATACCCAAAAACCCAAACTTTTTGCGGAATTAAAAGTTACCCTCAAATTTGACGGATCGTAGTCTGACCGAAGTAGTCGCACCGGTCTGACCGCATGGATACCACCGTCTGACCGAGGTTGAACCTTCGGTCAAACCGCGAGATCAACCGATGTCGCTTGTATAGCTGCCGCCGGTCTGACCGCCGCAATGCCGCCAGTCTGATCGCCGGTGTTTCGCCGGTTAGACCGCCGAACTCGAGAAAACATAAATCGAAGAACTCTCAAAGTAGATGACAACTTTTTTACTTCTCTCTGTGTTTACAAAGTGCAACAACAGCACTCCTCACGAAAATCTCGACTAAACTCGAAACCCTAACTAAACTCACAACTCAATGCTCTCAAAAGCGATACCGGGAAACCTCACGCTCCCTCTCTATTTATACATGAGGTAGGCAGCCTAAAGCCACGAACCAAACTCATACTAGAAGTTCTAATCCACCTAGGAAACCTTTCCGTACAAGAAACAAACTTTACAAACTCGGGGCACACAATACCTCCATCGTATGCTATATGGAATCTTCACCAACCACGTGCATTGAACTCTAGCCTAAGTATCCCATATGATATCTGACCGTCACGGACGTCGCCTTATCCCCAAGTCAACTCCCGATCCATCACCGGCAATACTCTCCCGAGGCATCAAGTCACCTACACATGAATCAAACAAAGAAACCATATTCCGAGACCAAGCTATCTCCAACTTGACTCATTAGTAGCAAACAACAGTATTACATACACATAGTATCCATCTAGAAGTCATAAACCCGAAACAATCACGGATATCCAAACAAACAAACTGAAACTAAAACCGACACAGAGTCGGCCGGTCAGACCGTGGGCTAAACCGGTCTGACCGCTCGCATAGCGCCGGTCTGACAGGCAACCACTGCCTGGTCTGACCGGACCTGACAAGAAACAGTAACCCTGTTTATCACCTGAAAAAATCAGTCATCTCCAAAACCACTTCGCCAATAATCTCCAAATATCAAAACCAATAAACACAGATGTCAATTGTTCATCACAGAATAACAATAAAAAACGCTTTGATTTTACACCCTCATTTCTGGTATGAAATCCAAACTGTTATATATTAAAAGCTTTTGAAAGAAATTGACAACTTAGATAAAAAAATTGATATATCATCATATGTAAGTTTAAATATGTCCTACGATAAGTTGAAAAAAAAGCTGAACTAGTACATGCACTATTTATAATCACATTCGTTTCTTTTTTTAATTAACTGAATAGCTGAATTGAATTTATACTTACATTTTATGAAGTGATATATTACATATTAATCTATATTGTGATTTTCTTTTAAAAAAATATAATTATTCGGATGACAACTAAGAATGAGGGGACATCGCCTGAAGGTAAAAGAACATCTCCTTGATAGGTAGCTACAATCATGAACTAACGTAGATGACTAAATTTTATAAAAACATCTCCTTGACAGTTGAAGCTGTTTCGGAAGCGTCTTGCCTGCAGCTATATATGTTGGTCTTGCAGCGTCGATCATGGGGAACATGTAACTCGTAAAAAAGGAACTAAACCACTTCATTTATTGCGCAATTCTTTTGTTAACTGGCCAAATGGTTGTAGGAACACTTGTCGATGACTCCCAACTGTGAAATTTAAGATTAGGCGTGGTACACTTTGAGATCAGGATTCTGGTTGGCATTAACAGTGTTGGATAATATATATCTAGAAATGCATTTCTCTGAGGGGAAATGGGTAATGAGAACATTAATATATTCTTCTATTCTTCTGTGTCTGTTAGCAAGGGAAATGGTTAATCTTCAGCCACTGAGAAATGCATGCAATTTTATTGTCAGACTGTCATTGACATGGTATGGTCACATTTAACTTTATTACAGAAAACATCACTGGAAATTATTCGCTCGAAAAAAGATAACATCACCGGAAATCATATAAAAGTACATTTTAAATAGCGATATGCGCCATTATGATTGAGAGGCCGGGTAATAAAAATAGTATGAAAGCATGAAAAATAGATCAGTACTTTTTGCAGGTGAATCGGTGGAAGCATATATATGGCCAAAGTTTGGAAAAAAGTTTTTTTTTCAAACCGTCGGGCCGTTGTCGACATATTTTATATAAAAGAAGAAGGTGTCCCATTTTAAAAAGCCAAAGTTTAAAAATTGCTACCAGTACCGACAGTCTATAATAAAGCGTCGTCCAGATCTGAGACTGGCAGACGCATGAAGCCGTCACCATTGTCTTCTCGCATTTTGATCCACTTGGGCTTGTCGTCGGCCTCGCCATCCGCCTCCGGCGCCTGATCGGTACTGGTCTCGTTGATCTTGAACATGGTGGAGTAGTAGTCGGTGTTCGGCAAGGTCATCAGGATGAGGTGCATGTACATGTCCAGGCTGTGTGCCTTGATCAGCTCCCGCGGCGACTTGCTGGCATCATGGTCGTCGAGCTCGATGTTGTAGTCGCCGTCAAGCACATTGTTCGCCGGCAGCTTGGGCACTATGTCCTGTTTGACGACGACGCGGGACACTTGGACGCGGCGCGCGGCGAGGGCGCCGTGGAACGCGTCGTCGCCGACGCGCGGCGCGCCGAACGTCACGGCTCGGACTCCGATCAACGGCTCGCTGCTGCGGCGGTGGCGGTCCTCGTCTGCCAGCGCCACCGCGGCGTCGTGCGCCGCCATCAGGGCGAGCGCGCCGCCGAGGCTGTGGCCGGTGATGGTGACGCGGATCAGTTTTCCGGGCTGCTGCTGCTTCCGGCGGAGATGCCTCGCCAGCCGCTTCACCTCCTCGACGACCTGCTGCTGCACGCTGAGCTCGCCGTGCTCCTTGTCCGCGTCGTTGGACCTGTACACCTTGTGGAACCCCTCGGCTACCTCACCGCCGGCGGGTTCGCCGTCCAACCCTTGGAACGCCACGCGTTCGACATGGATGTCCATCATGAAGTCGGCGACCGTCGCCGAGCCGCGCAGCACGACGACGATGTCGTCCCAGCAGTCGTCGCCCTGCTGCTTGCCGGCGCCGACGGCGATGTAGCCGAACCAGTACGGCTTGTTCAGGCCGGCGATGGCGGCCGGCAACGAGTCGACAACCCATGGCGGGAGTGGTAGTGGCTCGACGGTGGCGTAGAGGTGGGCGGTGACGACGTACCCAGCATTGGTGGCGAGGCGGCTGGACAAGACGGTCTCGTAGGACTCGCCGGGGTGCTTCTTCACCTCATCGAACGTCTTGTAGGCGGCGTCCACCATGACCGCGTACCTGAGGAGATCGGCCCGGTGGTTCTTATCCTCGAGGTTGATCACTAGGCGCCGCTGATGTACCACCTTACCGCTGCAGCCATTTCCGCCGTTGCCTTGGATTTGGCTCTGCTCACCGCCGACCATGTCGAGGTACGCTGGGACGGACAATCTCGATCTTAATTAGTTTTGCGTGTGATATGATGCCACACCGCAATAGAGATATATATAGGGAGCTAATAAGCACTTAGCGGCTGTTTGGTTGCAGTAACTAACTTTGCCACAACTAACCTTATTAGCTAAAGTGTGGCATGACAATATGATATAAAAGTGCAGTCATGAATTAGTAAGCCACAAATGTGCAGTACGTGGCATGTGGTTTGAAAAATAAAAGAGTGAATGATTTGTGAGCCCAAAGTATAAGAAAGTATGGTAAGCCTAAGTTAGTAAGGTGTGGCAGAGAAACAAACACCTACCTAACAACTGTGGTATGATGCACTGTCCCCTCAAACAAATCTCAACAATTCCTAATTAATTGTCCAAAATTTATAAATTTCATATCCATACTCCCCACAGCTCGGGAGCTTGCAGCAACTCCTAAGAGCAAGTTTAATAGTATAGCCAACTACCAGCTTCAAATCATCTATAGTCAATTTTATAGCCAATTCATACAATAATTACCTATAAACATATAGTACACAATCAATACCTGCTCCCACCTCTCATACACATATATATGACATCCTGGCCCAATTAGAATGAGGCATGTGTGGCCCATGTAAACTGTGTGCGCATGTTTAGTACCACCTTGCTAGTCTAGTAAGGGTGGAACCAATTTATAAGGCCTCATCCCTCCAACCATGTCACTCACAGGTTAACTCTTTTACACGAAGCGAAGACGAAAGTGTAAACAGGGTGGTGTGTGTAAGTGGGTCCACCTGTCAGAGCCCGTTAGATGGGCTGGCTACACAGTTCTGGAGGGAGGTCTGTTACATCACACATGCATCTTGTAGTCTGTGCTACATCTTTTATCTCCTTTGCTACATAGTTCTAGAGAGAGGCCTGTTACAGTGCTACATCTTTTATCTCCTTGGCTACATAGTTCTAGAGAGAGTGTTACATCACACATGCATCTTGTAGTCCGTGCTACATCTTTTATCTCCTTGGCTACATAGTTCTAGAGAGAGGCCTGTTACAGTGCTACATCTTTTATCTCCTTGGCTACACTCCTTGGCTACATAGTTCTAGAGAGAGTGTTACATCACACATGCATCTTGTAGTCCGTGCTACATCTTTTGGCTACATAGTTCTAGAGAGAGTGTTACATCACACATGCATCTTGTAGTCCGTGCTACATCTTTTATCTCCTTGGCTACATAGTTCTAGAGAGAGGCCTGTTACAGTGCTACATCTTTTATCTCCTTGGCTACACTCCTTGGCTACATAGTTCTAGAGAGAGTGTTACATCACACATGCATCTTGTAGTCCGTGCTACATCTTTTATCTCCTTGGCTACATAGTTCTAGAGAGAGGCCTGTTACAGTGCTACATCTTTTATCTCCTTGGCTACATAGTTCTAGAGAGAGGCCTGTTACAGCACACATACAACACATACATCTTGTAGTCCGTGCTACATCTTTTATCTCCTTTAAATATGTTTATTATGGTTCTTGTAGTCCGTGCTACATCTTTTATCTCATTTAAATATGTTTATTATGGCTGACTACATCTTTTATCTCCTTTAAATATGTTTATTATGGTTGGTTTATAGCATGCTATTGTACCTGCTCTAATAGATGTGCTACATCTTTTATCTCCTTTAAATATGTTTATTATGGTTCTTGTAGTCCGTGCTATATCTTTTATCTCATTTAAATATGTTTATTATGGCTGACTACATCTTTTATCTCCTTTAAATATGTTTATTATGGTTGGTTTATAGCATGCTATTGTACCTGCTCTAATAGATGATCGAGGTAGCCTCACTTGTTTTGTCTTAGGGAGTTAATATTCTAGGCAGTCTATTGGATAAAAGTTTTTTTTCTAAAATCCAAAATGCATATTAGAAATTCCTAAATGGAATTTTGGGATTTAGTATTTGAGTGAACTGTTGATGGTGCTCTTACAAAGTGTTAGGTGAAGGTACTTAATTTTATATAATTATTAGTTAATTAGTCATCATGGTATATTAATTGGCGTATAATATATATCTACCGAGAGAAGTAGTATATATATGCGTACCTTTGTGTGTGCTAATTAAGAGGTCGATCAGGTATCTCCTCGCTGGCTCTAATGGAAGACTTCGATCATGTGTTGCAAGATGGAAGTAAGTATATATTAATTAAGGCCTTCTTTGGATTGGATCTATAACTTTTGCCCTAGTAGAAAATAATTTTGAATTATAATTAATCCATTAATTTTTTACATGGTTTTAACTCATCATGGAACTTTTGGTTTAAAACCTCTAAGAATACGTGGTATACAAGTTACATTTTTAATTTTTGTTACGTAATGAATCCTTTAGCTTATAATTAAGCTGCAACTAAAACGCTCAAACAAGCCATAGCCAAATAGGCTCAAACAAGCGTCTATTTTTATCACCTATTATTATCCAAAAAAAAGACTCAAATTAAGAAGCATGTCTCTTTGATTTGTAGAAAAAACATAAAAACTTTAGAGGATGTCAATCCTACAGAAAAATTTCCTATAAAGTCTTTTGAAACAAATGATTAAATTATATCCTATGCTTTGAATTTTCTGTGGTATGGACAATTCTATAGAGATTTTTAAGAAAATTTAGTAATAACTTCAACCTCTTTAAAAGTTTTCTTTAAGTCTATTTTTCTCATCCGATTTTTATGGTCCAATCAAATTGTTACTCTTGCATACGTACTTTTCTATGTAAATGACAGCTGTGCGTACGATATAAACGTGCCTTCCGATCGACCATCGATCGCTAGCTCGTGCAAAGGAATCTTCATTATATTGTTCAGTTAATTACTTTTAGTTAACCTTCATATTGAGCGCTCATGCATAGGAATAGGATAATTAATTTTATCATACCAAGAGGTATTATATTTTCTAGTATAAAATTTAGTATCTTTAGGTACTAAGTATGTCAAGATAAAAAAAATTTAGCGTAAAATTTAGGTATGTCTGGAGAAAAACGTTTAGTAAAGCTACTGTAGTTGTTCTGTATATATAGGGCCTATTTGGAGAACTATCCCAGGGATATTTTTTGGGTTAAAGATTATCCCACCAAAATAGCCCCCTAACAAAATAGCCCTCTTGCTGTTTGGATCCAAAGGCTATTTAGCTATTATTGTACCATCCCAATCATTTGCCTCCACTAAAAGTATACAGCAGCCGGATCTTCTATGGCTAATCCAATACAGGCACATACAAGCATACACAATTCCTTACAAGCCCAAACACATAATTTGTCTCAAATATATAAGCAAGTATGTAAAACAATCATGTCACATAAAAGATACAATTCCATACAACAATCGTCTCACATAAATATACAATTACATAAAACAATTGTCTCACATAAATATTAAAGTCCATACAACAATTGTCTCACATAAATATTAAAGTCCATACAACAATTATCTCACATAAATATTAAAGTCCTCAAACCGTAAAAAAAAATTACAATCCATTAAACAAAGCATTTGCCAAGTCATCGCGGAAGAAATTCATGTTGCTATCCTCAACAAGAGGTTCATCTTCTGACCAGTCAGAGTGAGGTGATGTAGGCATTGGAAAATAATCTGCATCCGCATCACACCTAGCAAATTCCCTATCCCTAATTTTGCTCTCTCGAATGAAATTGTGAAGAACCATGCAAGCAACAATTATTCTAGTTTGTTTTTTTTCCGAAAACGATGGCATGTCCAACAACATCCTCCACTTCATCTTCAACACACCAAAAGACCGCTCTATGACATTCCTAATCCGGGAATGTGCATGGTTAAAGGTTTCTTTCATACCTTGTGGCGGGGGCCGTTTTTCCATTGCTCCACATGATACCTAGTGCATCTATACGGTGAAAGGTAGCCCGGGCAGTTTAGGTACCCCGCATCAACCACATAGTACTTCCCTGCATATACAAACACACAATGAGGCATATAGGTACAAGTTAAAATGATGGAAAGATTTGAAACAAAAGTTGCATTACTTTACCTTGTGGTGGATGTGGAAATTTGTGAGCATGAGTTGTCGTTGCATCTTTGAACACTCTCATATCATGTGCTGAACCAGGCCATCCCGATAGCACAAAGCTGATCCAAGTTTGCTGGAAGTCCTTTAAGCACCTTCTTTAGGTAAGGTTTGCCCTGCAGGAATAATCCAAACATAAGAACACTAAACGCAGACAGATAATAACCCAAAAAAACATGATCAGCAATAAAAAAAATGGTAGAAAAGTACCTCTATGTGACTACTCCAGAAATCAGAATCAGCATCGACTGTTCCATCAGGTTTTCTTCCTAAGCCCGTGTGCGTTTGCAAGTAACGCCAGAAGGAGTACGTGCTCTTGAGAATCCCAATTTGATTCTTTAGCTGCATACGACTGTGCATCAAACCAGTTTTGGCATGGTAGCCCTCGGCTATAGCATTATAGCCATCAGAATTCATTTGGCTACCATTGTAGTGGCCTGCTCTTACTTGCTCTATGCACAATGCTAACAAAATACTATTATAACTATCAGTCCAGTTAGCTCGGTCAGAAGTGCTCACCGGAGGGCCGCCGAAGCTGCCTAATTCCTCCACCTCATCGTCCCATGCACCTTCTTCGTCAAGGTCGACGTAATCGCCGATGGGTGCTTCCTGGGTGCCGACACTCCTCGACGCACACCAACCGCGGCCCCCACGTCCGCGGTCGCGGCCACGGTTGGTTGCCATGGCGCGTTGCCGACGGCGACCCGTTGCCCCTGATGAGGAGCTACCTCACCCAAGGCCGCCGCCGACAATGCCCGACGACGACCCACCATTTCCACCGTGTCCAGCACGGCCACCTGCCGCGCCGAAGTTGAGCTGGCGGGCGCGCGGTGCACCACGAGATGGCTCGGCACCCCCTCGACCAGCCCTCACTCCCAGAGAGCGTGGTGCACGGATGGGAGGGAGACCGGAGCCTCGGCCGTGGCCAGCTCCTTCCTCGCCGCCACCCTGGAGGAAGGCACCATACTCGTGGAGGTGAGGGAACTCCTGGCCCG